ATAGCAAGAGAGAGAAAGAGCAAGAGAGAGAAAGAGGGAGAAACATATGCGGGCGGGGTGGACAGCGAGCTCAAAGCGATGCGTGGAATGTAATTGTCGGCCTGACGAAGAATGCGCGGGGACCTGACAAAGACATTTTTGTTACGGTTTTCCTTTTTCTTCTTTTTTTTTTTCACTTTATGCTAGGCGAAAGACCGAACCATTGAGATCTGCCATTACAGATGTCGCGCGCTTACCGATAGCTTCTCAAGAAGAATTCTACGATTGCTCTCTCTCTCTCTCTCTCCCTTCATTATCTCTTTCGATTTCGATTAATAATAATAAAGATAATCGTGTCGGAGAAAGAAGCCGGGGAATAAGAAAAAAAGATGGTGACCGGCGAGCCGAACAAAAGGCCAGATCGTCACGTGGCTCCTTTCTCGCAATAATTTGTCGTACCCGCATTGCGACGAGTAACTGGGAACGAGATATAAATTGTTAATGCGACAAAATTATTGTCGAGTTAATGTTAATCGCGTTTTATACCAAGTTCAACGCGCTTGCTCGTTGTTGTTGCACGGCTGTTGCCGTTTGCTGGCCATCTAGCCAACGTTTGTATATTCATGAGTATGATTCTACTATTCTCTGACACGTGGATCGCTGTCATCACCAATCGTATGATTTAATCCACGATCTTTCTCCATTTTTTAAAGCATCGAATTTCGATTTTCTTTTTCATTTCAAAGAGAATAGTAAGTACTATTCTTTCCACAAAAGGTTCATTTTGATGCATCGCGTTTATCCATAAATCGAAAGGACAAATATAATCTAGGAGAAAAGAAGAAAAGAAAGAAATTCGTTCACCTTCATCGGTGTAATGTGTCTAATATTCTGGTGACTAATATCCCTTCTTCTCTAGTTGGTGCAAAACTGTGATGTATGATGCCTTCGTGCCGAATAACTTGACTTCATTTTTTCATTTGGGTTGCGCATCTCACAATCCGCTCGATGAAATTTAGCAGGAAAACCGAAGCTTTTACTTTTTCTTCTGACTTAAGAAGAGAAAGAAGAAGAAGCTTGGAAATATAACGTTGCTTCTCCCGAACTACGAGGGCATTTCATTGTCAAGTTTCGCATTTGAATGGCCTGAAAAAGAGGGTAGGAGCGGTTAAGATAATACGGTTCGTTCGGCTAAAAAAGTCGATCAAGCTTTTTGTCAATCAACAGAAAATAAGAAGGAAAAGAGAGAGAATTGGAATACAGGATGTAAAATAATAGCGTTTCAAGAGGCGGTTTCACACTCCGTACACGGAGAGACTCGTGCAACTACATATAAACCACGTTAGGAGGGCTACGGATCCAGACTAAACAAAAGCCATCTGGTTACATTTTTTTCTTTTTCTTTGTAACGTAAAGAGAGAGAGAGAGAGAGAGAGAGAGGGGGGGGGGGAGAGAGAGAGAGAGAGAGGTGGGAAGACGAAGGGTGAAGCAAGGGTTGCGTCGTACGACTCAGGAGGGATAATAAGCATCTTGGCTTAATGTCAACCAGCAAAGAAAATAATCGCGTGCTTCTGGAAAACTGTCGAGCCTTACTTTTATTAAAATAATTTGCAAATTTTTCCAACGTATCCATTAAGAGGCGCGTGTACTGTCGCCATGCTCCCGACATAAACTCGCGCGTTATATACACGGAAAACTAATAATGGGGACCAGTTTAGAAACGTGCCTTTTGGTCGTCGACTAAAATTAATCAAAAAACGAAGAAAGTTTGCTCGTCCCTCCTTTGCACCGGTCTTTCTATTCCTCACCGTTCAAAAGTACCTCTCTCTCTCTCCGTTCTTCGGACAAGAGTTTCCCTTTTCCTTTTCGAAATCTTCCAATTCTTCACCCTCGAGAAGGATTCCTTCGAGCTGTGTTTTTAAGTGAGATCATCAAAATACGTGTTTCACCGCAGCACTCGTGAAACGACACTGCGTAGCTCATCTCTGGATATATATATGTATATATATATATATATATATATATATATATAAAGAAGAGATAAAGTAAGAACATTACATGTTTTCAAGTTGTCGCTTTGAGATCATACTACATAGGTAGACGAAGATTGAACATTTGCTGCTTATCGTCTTGCGGAAAGGAGATGATCATTTTTGAACTCGTTGGCGAAAAGTAAAAAAATTTATTATTAACGTTCGTTTGAACGATCATGAGTACGAGATAAATAAATAGAAAGAAAAGACATGTACCGACCGCGCGTCTCACAAGATGCACACACTTTTCTCTCGCTGAAAAAAAAGGATGAAGGAAAGGAAGAGTACGAGCTCTCGACGTCGTCTTATTTATTAAGGAGAACGAAGGAGAAGCATTTAGAGGAGCAAAAGGAAGAGGAAAGAGAGGGTGAGACGTGGCCTTTGGAGGACGGTCGTTCTTTTACGAGCATGCACACCGCGAGAGATCGTCATAAATACGCGCTCGACGACATTGATTCGATCGTTATTAGACAACATAGTTGAAGCAAGATCAGACGAACAGGAAAAGACTACGAAGAAGAAGAAGAGAAGGAGGAAGACGAAGTCAACAAAGCTCATGAGACACTTTGTCTCGTGTTCGTGCCAGTCTCCTTCGTGGCTGATGCTTCGGATATGTGTACGTCGAACGAACCGATCATCGAATTACAAGACTGACGATCGTTAAGCCAAGCGTTTTATGGTACCTTGTATTTCGAGCTAAAATGGGAAAAAACTCGCTTCGATAGGAAAAGTAAATTCAAATAGAAAATTAGTTTTTTCTCTCGAAGTCGCTAAGTTCTATAGAAATGGTGTGCATAAAAGAGAAATAATTTTGAAACGGCATACCGTTCGATGGTCGTTCTTTCGACAAGTCTATCTGGTAATCTCGTAATCCTCGTTTCACGAGTTCCCATTACGAACTTTACCTTGCGCTTTAATGACAAAGGGTATTTAAAACTCCTTTCCTGTTTTCCACGACGAACTGCCGTGCTGGTGGTAGCGTATCGAGCCAAGCTCGATGAAATTTAATTAGCCCGCGCGCTTACCGCTGAGGAAACTACGCACTTCCCCTTACCAAACTTTACTTCACCTTCGAGCAAAATTACTTTCCTCGAAAGGAAGGACCGCCCGTTGGCGATCTTCAAGGTCGCTGAAAATGCGTCGCAAATTTCTTCCTTTTTTTTCCTTTCTTCCATCCATCCATCCTTCCTTTCTTCCTTTTCTGGCTCTCGAGGGTGAACAAATTTTGCGTTGAAAAGCGACACGTCGCAAACTAATCAAGTTGAGGTTATTTCTATTGTCTATGATCAATCTTACCTGATTACGATCGATACCGGTCCAACGGATTTCTATTCTAATACTTTCAATAATATTTTCAAATACTTGTTCATCTTATCGCCTATTAGCTTGTTGCATGGCATTGTCTACATGAAAAACATTTACAAAAAGTGCTTTATTATTAACGACTCGTCCTCAAGGGTCGGTCGTTACGCATACATACATACATACATACAACATACATACATATATATATATATATATATATATATATATACATATATATATATATATACATATATATATGTCGTGATTTAGTGCATTTAGAAGCATTGCCATAAAGAGAGCGATAAAAACATTTAACGAAAATGACACTCGATATCGAGCATTCTAACCTTCTAACGAGATCGCCCTTAATAGCAAAATCGAGCATAAAAGCAAACGACGTCGCTAATAAAGATCGACTCGTTAAGGCGTACCACTATCGTCTTAATAAAATAGACATTAATCTTCGTATAAAAGATTAACTTTGCATCGATCTGGCGATGCAAAGTTAACCAAAAATGCTAACTAATCTGTTTACCTGCATCATATATATGTTTTCATTTTACTTGTCCCATTCTTTGCTTTTTTGTTCCTCTGTCACTACGTCGTCTGAGGGGAAATAAAAAAATATACGTATGATTAGAAGGATCGTCGAAGAAACGGTGGAAAATCAAGTCAGAGAACATTACATTGCTCGAGGCAAATTCGCGCGTTTACTTGGAAAGAGCGCCGAACGCCTGTGTCGCCATCTGTGGAGATGAGTTGGAAACAAAGAGGTCCGACGGTCGGTGATTTACGTGCATGCTGCACGACAGAGAGAGGGAGACAGAGAGAGAGAGAGAGAGAAAAGTTCCCTCGGCGCTGGGTTCGTTGTGTGGGCGTCGTTTCGGGTTGAGGTAGAGGGGGCGTCTAGACGCAACGTCACGAGTACGTAGCCTCGTCCAGGCCGCTTCTCTCTCTCTTTCTCTGTCCTCTCCTCCCTGTAATGTCGGCGGCGTTCCCCCGATGCGGTGCGCGCACGCCAATGCGCCGGGTGTTCCGAGCCCCTCGGTTCCGTCGATGCCACGCTGATGACGGTCGTCGGAGCCAGACACTCCTGCGTGCCGGGGAAAGAGGAGGACGAGGGGGGGCCAGCGAGGGTGACTCCGGCTTTTTGGTCAGGAATTGTTGCCGGTCCCACGCGCACGTGTCTGCTGCCGCCACTACCGTCGCGATATCCGCCTGTCTGTGTGCGCCAGACTTTCCCTGTGTTCGTGTCGCTTGCTCGTGTATCTTCGTAGAGTGCAAGAGAGACAGAAAAGGCAGACAGACAGACAGAGAGAGAGAGAGAGAGAAAGAGAGAGAGAGTCTGGGAAGGAAGGAGAGACAAAGACGAGAGAGAGAGAGAGAGAATGCAGAGGAATATATACCTTGTATACTTGTAATAGTGCGTATCCATCCAAATGGGAGGGTGCGTCAAAGTGGCCGCGAATTGAGTTTTCCTCAGGGACAGGTATAACTCTCTCTTTCTCTTTCTCCTTCTTTATCTCCCTTTTCTATTCCTTCCTACTACTCTTCCTTTTTATTTGTATGTTTTTCTTCCTCCTTGCCCTGTATACGTATATATATATATATATTTGTTTTATCTCTGTTTCTTTCTTACTTTATAGCACGGGAAATCTTTTCACATTTTACCACGTAAGCTTCGGGCGTTTGTTGTTTTGCAATAATATTCATTATTGGCCATCATCCAAGAATTTTAGAAAATATCTTTTCGTGGTTATTTTCAAAGATGCATACATACATATAAACACGACTTTAATATCGAATTCTTATGTAACGGAAGGAAGCTGTTCCAAATTGCGTTCTTGAGCCTATTCCTCTCTCTCATTGGTCTGTCGGTGGCACAGCCAGGCACGTGCCGATCAGTACGAAATTCATCAGGTACGAAGTACAAACGCATCGATATATTGTTAACCTCAAATTTCTATGGACAGCCGACTTTACCAATTGATGCCTACGAAAGCGTGGAAAATTCATAGGTACCGTACAATATCTCATGATAACACGATAATCATGTCTTTCATGGAAAGATGCAATAACCTTCAAAAAACGGCGACATGCCGTGACGCGTTTTTTGCATATTAGTATCTCATAAACCTAAACGATATTGTGACGTGACTCGAGCGTATACCTCGTACGTACAAGGTCGCACGGATTTTCTTTTTTCATCTCTTTTTCTTTCTTTTCTACGTTCTTCCTAAGGATCGACATGGAAAAAAGGAGAAGAGTTGCTCGTTGACGATAGAATACGTTCGATCGATGAATTGTATTGAAATGGTGACGACTCTCTCTCTCTCTCTCTCTCTCTCTCTTGCGCGCGCTTTTTTCCTCGTCGTACTCGGACGAATGCGTATTATCGGGATTATTTGGCGCGTTGAGCACCGTATACAATTCAGATAGGAGCTCTAAATGTGGCGGAGCTCCTATTTAGACTCCACGGTTGACTCACGCGGCCGTTATTTTTGGAAAGTGGCATGTTTTCGTTCGTTCGGCTGCGCATACCACGAAGCAAGCGAGAAAGAGAAACGAAGAGAAGCGCGTGCGTAAGGGAAATAAGTTTACGTTTTCACGTGCACGCGTGCACGTGATTACGGATGAGTACGAGCGAATGACGTCACAAATTTGCGTATTACTACTTGCGGAATGGTTGGAGGGAACGCCAAGGCGCGACAATTTCTAAATGACGGAAATTCCAAAAATCTAATGTAACGTTTTGGCTTATGAAAAGGATTTAAATTAAATTAGTATGCATTTTCGATAAAAAAACGTGATTCATTCGAATGGCTCGTAGGAGAAGCAGCGTATCGTCCTCGAGCTCGGCTATATCGTTCACGTAGGCGGAAAATAAGTTTTTATCGATTACTAACCTACGACAACCATCTGGCCCGGTCTGGCCCTCGACTAATCGTGGCACACGTAATAGGGGTGGAGCTCGATTCCAAAGTCTCCCGAGAACGTAAGTTTTCCCTTGTCCACTTTGTTAACCAGGACTAGCCTTTGCCAGCTCGCGTCCTTCTCAGTTTTTTCGTTTTCGAACGTACATTCGATCGTACGTTCATTTATGATATCGAGCAAGATACGATAGAAATTTGATTAACGACGATGTATTTTTCACAGATCGCTGGATAACTAAATGAATTCGATATCGGCATCGCGAGGATTTGGAAACACAACGCGATGTCTGGAACATTGTGTCACCATGGTGCTCCTGTGGGATTTTCCATAAGCTTCACCGTCGGTTCGTTGTACTTTCGATCCTTTTCAACGCAAAATGAATAGTAATTACTTTAGATATCCGTACGCCATTTCAATGCGAATAATTGTTATCGCCAGGCGTGTCTCGCCTATTACGGTTATTATTTCATTCGTTTGTTCCGATATTTTTCAGCAAATTTTCAAGTCAAGAAAAAAAATGTAAAAAAAGGAAGGAATCACGATCGGAAGAAAAAAAATATTTTATCTCATTTTTATCTTATCGAGGTATGATAGGCACTCGTAATAGCCCCGATAAGTCAAGATTCTAGTAGATACGATAAAAACCGGAAAAGAACTTTTCAAGCGACATCGCGCTTAGCAATATCTAAATAGCTCAATCGTTGGAAAACACGAAGCTGACGTATCAAGACATCTTGTTGAGAAATTTATTGTTGACATTTTACCGTTGGCTCTTTGGGTCTCGTCTTAAATCCGTTAAATTTTCTTCTTAAATCAAGAAGCATAACAGACGGTCGTTATTCAGTTGTCCCAGAAATGCGTGTAAATGCGTTAATAGAGTTCATCGTGAAGCTGATCATAAAATATTGAGTTTCTTGATAAGGGCTAGCTAATGACGATGGCGAGAAAGAGACGAAGATGAACGGGGAGCATAGAATCGTCTCTTCATGGTTGGTCATCTCCCTGAAGATTCTTCGAAATGATTTAATGGCAAGACGTTAATTAACGGCAAGTCCCTCGTCACTGACCTTGCCACCACTCTTTGTGGAAGTAGCCATATTATAGCGTCGACTATACGTCTGGGACCTACCCCAATCAAATCGAGACTAAACTTCTTCCCTCTCCCATGGTAGAGCTCGCTCTAATCGCTTTCAGTCACGCTACGAGGAGCTATAGGAAGAGAACGAGTGGAAAGGACAAATAGAGTCACACGATATCAACGCATTAAAGTAGTCAAATTTTTATAACAATCTCAAAACATTAGAAAAACTTTTATTCAAATGCAATTGACTGGTAGGAAGAAAAAGAAAGAAAATTGTCGAGCAAGGAACATTCTCGAAGCTACAAGTCTCCAATAATTTGCATATACCAACAGTATTCCAGACATCTTTGAGAAATTCGAGGAAGATGATATAGAAAATTTTCACCTTTCTACCTTCTTCCTGCTTCTCTTGCTTGGCGACGAAGAGGAGTACGACGACGACGACGACGACGACGACGACGACGTCTCGTCGATGAGCTTTCGGGCTTTCGCTAAAACGCTATATAGTCCAGGTTCGAGGGAGAATGCCGTGTAGTCTTCGGTCTGACGCACGATATAACGTTGGCATGGTTGGAGGACTATAGTCACTGGCTAGACTGCACCCCCGTCGAGTGTAGGCGGAGGGGGAAGGTCGACGTGGTTCGAGGCTTGGCTCGGAGGGGTGAGAAGGGATGCAGACCGGAGCGAGAGAGGGCGGAGACTCCTACCACGGTGTTCGAGGTAGGGGGCGCTGGCTAGACACCGCTCAGACGGTCCAGGGGGTCGCAGGGGGTAATTTCTGCATTGGCGTCGACACCAAAGAGGAAACTTTGCGATTCTACTTGCAGCTGCTGGCTCGTGCGCGTGAAGCTCTTTTCCAAAGGTGGGGGAATACAGAGAGAATCTATATATATATATATATATATATATATATATTTCTCTCTCTCTCTCTCTCTCCCTCTTTTCGGAAAGGTCATCGAGCAAGCCCTACCACAGCTGGCACCTGCCGACGACTAGCCAGACGCGCACGTGTACCGATTACGTGCTCGATGCGAACAAGAAAACGACCGATAGAGACCACCTTCCGTCTCCTCGCTTCTTTGACGTCGATCGCGAACGGACCGTGAGAAAGTGACTCAAACCTTGTAACTGTTGGTCAAAATAATTTTCCATTACTTACTACATTTCTAGTTCATTTTTTTTCGTCTTCTTTCTTATCCTTTTTATTTCATCTATGCGCAAAAGTCCTGGAAAATATTGTCCCGACAATTTCATCGTTGCAGATAATCATTGCAGTTAAGAAATATTAAAAAAATTTCCAAGAAAATTTTCTTAAAAAATTTTCAATGACAATTTCTTTCAAATTGATATATAGGATTCAATATATGTGAAAGTTGAAAAAAAAGAGGTATAGGGTGCCACTATACTTTACGCCAATGGATTGGACGGCCAGGAAAGCGGCGGACTGTTTTTTATCGAGTGACTGCAGAGAGTTGAGTCGAGTCGAGTCGAGTCGAGTCGAGTCGAATCGAGTCGAGTCGAGTCGAGTCGAGGCGAGTCTAGACGAGAGGGCGTCTGCCGTTCTCTTTGCCTCCTTATAGATAAGTCCTGCCGACTCCTTCGTTGCTTTGCCACCGCCTTACGTGGCTCTCCCTCTCTCTCCCTCCTTTTTCGCTTGCGTTCTCGTCTTTACCACCACAGAAGGACATGTCTTTTTTCTCGTTAAAACTGCCTCGATACCTAGTATCAGTTACGGACCCTGAAACCATCTTTGGCACCGATTACGCGGAAGCACGACGAATAAAAGCAACCTATTTCTCTCTTTCTCTCGGTCTTTGTCAAGACAAGGACCGACTTGGATACACGTCTAACGTGTCTACCTTATTCAGAATACTATCTATAAACTTCCTTGATTTTTGTTATACCGTTTTACCTTGTTTCAGAATCATGGATAGAATTGATAGATCAGATAGATCAAGATGTTTAATCGCTCGTTTCGAACTTCTTGAAGTGAATTTAACCGATTTGCCAATGGCGTCAACTCAATATCGTCGATTCGAAGCATCGCGAGAACGCTACTCGAGTCTCCGGAAGTGCGAAGCGTCGGCTGTCTGGCGAACGAACGAACGGATGGTTGGACGGATGGATAGGATACGCAGGGACAGGTGGCTCTTCGACGATCCTAAGTGGGCAGGAAGGACACCCGGGCTCTGACGAGGGGCGAGAGACAGACGGATGGACTAGCTTGTTCGCTTACAAGTCAGAGAGAGAGAGAGAGAGAGAGAGAGAGAGAGAGAGAGAGAGAGAGAGAGAGAGAGAGAGGGTACAGTTTCGTGTTCGCCCGATGCGTGCAATGCAATTTCCCGCAGGGCCGTCTGTCCGCTTGTGCGGTCGTGCATGCCACTTACGCCATTGTTCCTCCCCCTTTTCGCATACGAAAGTGAACATTCCCGAGATCCGGGAGGAATATAACGCGAGCGAGCTGCTGACCCCTTGTCTCAAGGCGTAACACCTCGTCTACGAGATGTAACTGAATAATGCTCTCTCTACCTCCCTCTCTATCTCATCAGCATTAACATGTAATTATTTGAATTTTAGCTACTTTTCATTTCATCTAGTTGATCAGTTTGCGCTCCAAGAAGATCATTTAACGCACCGTTTATCCTACAGCAGGATGTAGATCTAAAAGATGAATATCTCTTGGTCGAGCAAGCTCTCGGAATGCGAGAGAAGAAAGGAAGGAAGACATTCAAGGATCGATTCGAGCAAGCGGAAAACTATGCGACTGGAGAATAATTTATGCGATATTTTCCTGCAAAGCGGTACCGTGCGAGGGCATGAATTGGAAACGTTCCACTTGGACTGGTTCCATCGGTCCAAGATAGGACGGATCATGCAAGAGTTTTCGCGCGTTTTCGTTTCCTTCTGACCGAATCCAGAACTCGTTCATCCTTTTTAATATTTTCTTTTTTTTTCTTTTTTATCAAACTTGAAGACTGATTTTGAAAAATTGAGAAAAGAGTAACTCTGTTGTACGTTTTCGACGCCTCGAGGGGCAACGTTAACACTTGGAATTCGTTCATTGTTCGATTCTCGATACGGTGAATAAAGTTGCATTCTGAAGGGCCATCGTCGTGCATCAAAAACGAAGGGGTCCGCGAGTTGTAGCGCTCTGTCGTCGAGAGTAAAGCTGCCGAGGGGCAGAAGGGAGTGAACCTCGCCGACCGTAGGGAGGGGAAGCAGCGAAGAGTCATGACGTCAGCCCTCTTGTCTAATCGTTCAGCCGTCTGTCCGACGACGGCAACGACGACGATGACGACGACGACAACGGTGACGGTCGACGTTGTACCAAAGAGAGTGCACGCAGACTTTGACGTAACGTTTCAATGTCATGGTTGCGCGTCAACTCGAATCGACCCGCCATCCATCCTACTGCATAAAGTTTCATCTCCATTCACTCGTGTCAGGTAGCTACCCCATCTTGCGTTTTATTTATTTTTCCTTTGCAGAGAGGCCACATATTCTTTTCTTTCAGAAATGAAAATTGCAAGGTGGGAAGGTGAGTAAAAGGGATCGAAAGGTCAAACTCTCGTCCAGCGGTCGGCGACGAGTATATAGCTTAATGCGATCGTCTAGGAGAAAACGGGCGTAACGCGCTCGTTCGGCTTTTCAAGGGGTCTCCGTTACCGGAGCCGCCGTCGTCTGGAGTGCCGAGGAGACGCAATTGGGGGGGTGTGTGAGGGAAGTAGGGAAGGAGAGAAGGGTGGATAGGCGAATGCTGGCTTCGTAGGGCTGGAGACGAGGAAGAGAGGGAGGAGGAGAGTTGGAGACGAGACGGGAGGAAAAGGAAGAGTAGGAGGAAGGGTGAAAGGAGAGATGAAAACGGTAGCTGGGTTCGGAGAGGGATGGAAGGGGTGTCGTTACGGTCCTGCACTGACAGAGGGTGCGGTGCCGAAGGGAACAGACGCGCGATACTACGCTGCTGGAGATTCCTAGAGGTTTGAGGTTTCGCGGCCTTTATTCCGACGTCTCCTTTTCTCGTCTTCTTCTCCTCTCGCCTAGCCAATCTATATATCGATGCAGAGAAAAAGAAGTAATTTTGAAAGATAACAAAATACGATCTAAAAACAATGTCCAGCTTTCTACTTGATAGCGATACATTCAAAACGTTCGCGTTGAGACCTCTCTCTCGCGTTGCCAATTCGCGATTCCAATGCCCTTTCCCATCGTTTTTATTGACAACTCGTAAATTCATCGAGGAATATCACTGGTCTCGCAAATCTCGGAGAAAAGGGAAATGACTGTGGAAATCCATGAGAATTTTGTCCTCTTTATGAATGCAGAAAAGTTCCGTCCTTGCAGAAAAGTCCCCAACGTAATCGGCCGTGGAATAGGTTGGCGGTTGGAGAGGGAGGCAAACGGGATGTTACGCTCGCGAACCAAAAAGCGTTTTAATTCCCTGGACGCTTAATTCCGTGCGTACGAATGGCACGCGTGAATATGCATGACCCGACTGGCTTGGCCAGCCGAACTAGCTAGCCGAGCTAGCCAGCCAACGTCGTAACTACGTACGAACGAAGAACGAAGTCAAGCCAGGAGGTACCGTCGCTTTCGCCGATTTTATTTTGTTTCCCAACTTTTTCGTCGAAACCACAGGAACCTATTAAAATGCCGTTCGCCATGACCGCGCCCGTCTGCTGCCTGCGTTATCCATTCCTTCTTCCTTCTCCCTTCCAGTCCTCACCTATCTTCCCCCTTTTTTTTATCTTTCCTCCCACGTATTCTACCAGTTTCTCTCATTGCGTTACCGTGGAAAACTTTTCTACCCATCCTCCCTCCGCCCCCAACCACCCTTTCATCGCGCTCGACTCGCTTCGAGAATGAAATCACGCCCAGGTTGCGTCTACGATTCTCCCGTCATTTTAAACATTTTTCATTTTTTCACCTCGTTCTTTATCATTTCTATTTTACTCTGTTGCAGAAACAACAAGGGTCGTTTGACACGGATAACGATGATGACAATGGCGAGGAGCTTTGCGTGTCTACGTTGGATTAAAAAATTCAAATGCGAATGTGGAAAGAAAAACGAGCTACAAATTACGATCTTGTCCATACCTACCAAGAAATTTTTATCGTAGCACGAACGAACGAACGAACGAACGAACGAACGAACGAACGAACGAACGAACGAACGAAAGAAAGAACAAACGGAAGAGACCGTCTCTTTCTCTTTCTTCGGTATGTTTTACCAGACGAAGCAGCCGCTTCGTTTCTATCGTGTTTCTTACGATTCCGTTATTCCTCCCTGTACAAATTCTCATTAAAACCAGGAGGTAAAAACGTTAAGTGTCTTACAGTGTCTCGCAATTACCAACATAGGGAAAATATATATAAAGTAACGAATCTAAACTCATTTAAAGACTCGTGGAAAAGCAGAAACGTCATGGGTTCATTGTAACTGTCGATTAAAAGACACAAGTGGAATAATGGTGTAACGAAATAGAAAGGATTGATTTCATATAGAATTAGTTTTTAGATGAATCATGTCTTTGCATAACGTCAATGTAAAATTCTCGAGAGATAGGTGTTTGAGTTTGCAGGAGGAGAAACGCTCTGACGTTTCTTGGCAGTGCGAACAACGTGTACACTTTACAACGACAGGGTGAGAAAGAGAGAGAGGAGAAGAAAGAGAAGGAGATGCAAAGCGGTTGGTCGGAGTCGAAGGAAAGCGTAGAAAGACGTTGTTGACGAGACGATATATCCAAAGGTAGTAGCAGCCGGTGTTGACAAAACACCGAGACGTCGATATGTGTACCCGCGGAAGGCGCTTCATAGCAGTCGATGACACAGCCAGCGAGCAGACGGTCTGACCTGGATGCCTTGTTTGCTTCGCTACCATCGGCTCGACCCGTCTGCACGCTCCTCTCTCTCTCTCTCTCTCTCTCTCTCTCTCTCAAACTTGTACACAGATACAGGTCCCTACATGCATTCGCACACAGTCGCGTCTATACTCCATATATCCAGACTCGATACTGCAACGTGCGTGCCATGAGGTTTTGTCGCAACCTCGAGCACGTGTATACTTACACTTTGTGTAAGTGTGTTTGCTCGTGTTTCGTGTGTACCACAAAGCTTGCAGAAAGAGATAGAGGTACTCGTAGTGTAAAGTCTAGGTTTTTCCTTCACGCTGCTTGGTAAATAAAAGACACAGCTTGTTTGAAATTTCCTCGCTCGCTTTTTTTTTCAAAACTTTACGTTTTATGTGATTTTCTCAAAGATTGATCTTGATCGTTCCCTGGCCAAGTTGGATTAAGTATACCGATCTGTTATACTTTTTCTAACGCATCTCTAAATAAGAGTAATGGACCACGAGCAGTTACGTTTCACAGTAGGAGCTCGAAGGAAATAGTGATTCATTTCGTGATACCCCACAACGAGAAAAATGTCCCTGGAAAGGAGCTGCCATTTCTACGTAATTTGCAGTGAAAGAGACACTCGCCGTCTCCGCGTTTCTCTCCTCGTAAAAAGTTTCTTCTTCGAGATTGGGTCGTGAGATGAGTACTCGCGACGATATATCGCTGCGTCTACTCGTCTTTACGCTCGTTAAAAGGAGGAAAAGTATTCGAACCTAGGTAGAAACATTGAATACCTAAATAGAAATTGACTAATTAGATGTGTTTAATAAAACGTCTTATAATTACTTGAAATCATTTTTGCTTTTGAAAATTGTATTAACGATTTAATTTAGTATTTCAGCGCTTATGACTTGAACGATTTATGACACACGGTCGTGAACTTGATTATTGAAAAAAACAAATAAACAAATAAAAATTTAGATCTTTTCAATGGATATTTCATTTATTGTCACGAAGCAGACGTTCAAAGGGATCTCTCTTTTTGTATCTAATAATTTACGATTACGATTTCACTTGGCAATTTTTTTTGTTTACTGGGTGGGAGAAAAGAGAAAGCAATGAAAGTCGTCGAGGTAACGCGTGGGCGATAGATAACCGTTAGGAGCATCGTAATAGGCGCATGAGTTAATTAGAGGGATTTAAGAGCCGACAAGCATACCGGCATTACGTGCACCAATCGAGTGAATCGCTGTCTCTCTGTCGTCGATAATTACCAATACAACAACAACGATAGCGACAAAGTGCTTTCGTCTTAAATCGAGGAATTCCAAGTATAGTAGTCGATGATTAAATCAAAGTATCATCACGGCGCCAGTTAATTAATTAGAAATTTGCTTAATTAAGTGATTTAGTAGGCCGAATACCGTAGCAATTAGCACGTGTACCCGCCGGCGTCTGAGAGGAGCGCCGAGTAAACAGAGGCAAGACTAGAGAAAGAGCCTTGGGAAGAGGCAAAGAAAACAAAGACTGGTGTTATTTCTTACCTAATCAAAAGTAAGTAAAAAGAAGAGAGAGAGAGAGAGAGAGAGAGAATTCTCTAATTGAAAGTATAGATAAAATATGTTAGAAATGTAAACGTCAAATCGAATACGCTGCGTCAGAGTTGCGTCAGAGAAAAACGCATTCTGCATGGCTTTCCATTTGTATGCACCCTTCTTGATGCGTTTCGGACAATGATTGGATACTTCCATTAGCGCGCATAGATCGAACTTAACGTTTAAATTCTTTCTTCTTCTCTCTCTCTTATGCGCACGTACAGTGAACGTACCTGTATTTTAAACATATCGAAAATTAACAGGAAGTTTAATTAAAAAACGTAAATTAAGGTTCCAGTGATTAAAATACCGACTGATTTTCTACAGTCGTTACCACAAATTTCCAATTAACTTTTTTGTTTTTTCTTCTTTATTTTTCAGCAAACTTGAAGATTGGAAATATATTTTCCTCTTCCTCTCTCTCTCTCTCTCTCTCTCTCTCTCTCTCCTTCGCGTTCTTTTATTTGTATCCCGTCTGAAGCCTTAAGAGATTTCTCTGAAATATTCCAAAGCCCTGGTTACGCGTATCAAAGGAATCCTCGCGCTCATTACACATACTTTCCCCTTTCCGCTTTGAAACATATAAAGCGAGGTTGCGAAGTTGTAAAAGAGGTGCTTAAATTCGGTGACTTTCTTCGTTGAAGGAAGAAAAAAAAAGGAAGAAGGAGAGAATGTCTACAGCGTACGCCAGGTCTTCTTAGAGCATACACAGACACATACATGGAATATATCGAAGATGGCGTCTAGGTAGACTAGACGATAGAAAAATAGAAAAAAGAATAGATTAGACGATGGCTAGACTTATCTCCTATAGACAAACATCCTTGTACACATGGGATCAAATTTTTGCGTTCTCTTTAAACCCAATCGCGGAAAACGAATCGAGTACCATAGAAAACGAACGTGGAAAACGAACGGTGAACAATATTTCCTAGCACCGTCGCGCCGGTCGCCGATAAATACAGACTTCGCGCATAGCGGCGCCCTACCGGTTTTGCGGTATCTCGAACGGCTTAATGGCACTGTTAACTGCCGTATTATTTAACGGGGATTTATGCATTGCAGTCTGCCGATTAAAACACTACGGTGGTTAGGGAGAGGGGGGTAGGGAGAGCGTGGTAGAGGACCAAGCGAAAGGGTGGCGATGAGGTTTGGGTGCTATGAGTGGAAGTGAGATAGAAATGGAGAGGGAAACAGAGAGGGAAAGAGAGAGAGAGAGAGAGAGAGAGAGAAGCGGTGGCGACTAGAGCCGACAAGGATGAGAGGGTTGGCGGAGTGCACGATACCCTTAATCCTTCATAATAGCTTGCTCTGATAAACAGTCTACTCCCTCACCCTTCCCATCTTTTTCACCACGACTGGAAACTCGGGACTCGTAAAAATCCTCAAACCGATTATATACATATAGGCACTATTCCGTAGAATCTGATCATCGGCAGGTATCAATGAATTGTTTTTTCTTTCTAATTAGTAATTTTCACATTTTTCTTTAGCATCTCGTGTGCCGTAGAAAGAGTAGAATAATCTGGTAAAAAGTGATATAGCAACAAATCGTTCGGTGAATACTTAAAGAGAAGAAGAAGAAACGAAGAGTAAGGAAGTAGAAAGAGTGAGAGACGAAAGGCTCGTGAATCATCCACGTCACGATCGCTGCCAATGGGATCTCGGATCTCCCGGGCGATGCTATTGGAGGATTTACATCTCCTGTCTGTGCCGAATGCCAGAGGAACTTGGTTCGTGTTGCTGCTGCTGCTGCTAGTAGTGCTGGTGCAACGAGGACGATGGTAAATCCGGTTGGGCATATATTCGCGGATGCGCGAATACGACGAGCTCTCGTGGAGGGAAAAGAGATGGAACGAAAGGAGAAGGAGGAAGAGGGAGGAAAGATAGAGCTAGAATGCGTATATGTGTGAGAGAGAAAGAGGAGAGAGAAACGGAGCATGGTCGATGTGTCTAGCCTAGCCCGGTTGGCTGGCTGGCTGGCTGGCTGGCTGGCTGGCTGGCTCGGCTGGCTGGATGAACCAGGGACCGTCTAGCTTGCGCTGCCCCGCACAAACTCGGCATTATCTATACGTCTAGACACCCCTGCGCCACACCAGAGAAAAGAGAGAGAGAGAGAGAGAGAGAGAGAGAGAGAGAGAGAGAGAGAGAGGGAGAGAGAGAGAGAGGGAGAGAGAGATAGACTGTAGGCAGCTTGGCGTACTGCTTGTAATTTACAGCAAGCCCCACCGTGTCTTTCTACGCTCGCTCTAACCTACCAACTTCCTCTCCTTCTCTTCTTCTCCATCTTGGTCCGTCTCGTTACACTCTCTCCTATCTAGCTAGTCTTCCTGTGTAAACTCGCCCCACAAGATATAGTTATACAACTTTGTTGTTATCACGCTAAGATGCAACCACCAATCGTGGTCAGTTTGAATTGATTCAAATTGTAATAAATAAATCTTTTATGCGATGCTCTTGATGAGAAATTTTAGTCGTCGTTTCTTTAAATTTAATTAGAGCTCGGTCCCATTTGATCGTTTTAGAAAATAATTGAATTCCTTGGAAAATTTCACTCTGGGATGGTGTTTGTTAACAGGATCGTAACTTTTAGCTCTTGGGGACCACGAAAAGAGCACGCACTTTCTCAGACGGTATCGTTACGAGATTAAACCGACCGAATCGCCTTAGACTCGACCTTCAAAGAAACTCTCTTGTCCACCTCCAAGTACCTAGAGTAAGAAAGGGAGAGAACACAAAGTTTCTCCGGCCGGGACTCGAGAGAGGCAAGAATTAAGGAAGAAAGGTAGGAAGGAAGAACACGAGTCAGGTGCGTACGACGTCGAACTTGGTGAGTTTCGAGAACGCAATTTTCCCAGAGGAATCGGTCCTCGTTAATGCCATGGCGACCATAAAGTCGAACAGAGAAGAGAGTAAGAGAGCAAGAGAGAGAGAGAGAAAGTTATACTTACTAAGAAGAAGAAGAGAGTTAAAGGAGGAAGCTCGGAGGTTGTAGCCGTCGTCGAAGTTCGAGGGGTTCAACGAGCTGACGCTTTAAGCAATGTAACTTACAGAAACTACGCTTCCGAGCGGTCTCGGGCGCAGATTAGTCGTAATCTCGGCGCATTGCACTCTGCAGATCCACTTCTCCTCTTCCTCTCTCTTCCTCTCACCATTTATGTTCGTCGTGAGAAAGAGAGAGAGAGAGAGAGAGAGAGAGAGAGAACTCTATCGACGTCTCCTTCTCCTCCTTTGCGACCTTCCTCGTGCTTCCTTCGTGTGTTACACGACGAAGTCGCACCGATATAACACCGAGTCTCGTAACTTCCAACACATACACATACCCAGCTTAGTCGGTGCTTATATCGCCGCTTTGATTATTTCCTAGAGGCTTAAGCCAAGTCTACGCCCTCGCTCGCCTCGCTGCTATCAACGGGTTACAACCGCGGCGAAGATTAAACGCTTTCTCGATTTACGAGTCCGCGGTATCCCTTAGCCTTCGGCTTTTCTTAAGGAACATGGCTTGATTCATCTATATTTAGCTCTCGCTATTGGTCGATATTCGATGTAAACAACTGATGTCTTCGTGCTTCCCAGAGAGAAAAAAAGATATTTTCTTTGTGAAAAGAGAACATAAAAATTTCTTCTTTTTCTTTTTTTCATCGATTACTCGACCTGGTATAAAATATTAAGAATAGGATTTAAATCTCGTGACAAATACGTTGGCAACGCCTAACGTGGTAACTATATTGAACAAACAAGATAGAATATGTTCGTTGGTGAGTTAGAACGAGAGTCGCTTTAATAATTAATTAATTAATGAGACATTTTAAAAAATAAAAAATAATGGAGTTAAATCAAGACTACAAGGAAAGCAAGAAAGTCGATAGAACGCTTGGCATAAAACGTTATAATAACATAAAAAATCCAGTGATTTTCGACAGGATTAGGTACGTTGACGTGTTTAGATTGTACTTTTTTTTCTTTTTTTTTTTTTTTTTTTTTTTTTTCTTTTTTAAAGGAGAAATAAATAAATACATAAAACATCTTGACATTTTCGTGAATTTTAGTAAAGAGGTGATAAAAGCCGAACGAGAGGCAGAACGGAAATGGTTGGCGAGATACGAATGTTTGTCCAGAGAATATTTTCAAAAGGTACCATAAAAATACTCGTGCGTACAATCGTGCGGCCGACCGGTCACGAATTTCAACGAGTTCCAATGCCACTGACCGCAGGTGCTGGCCGAAGAATGCAGAAAAGCAGCACTTCCGGCGGATACTTTCAAGCGAAAACCGCCGGAAGACCCGACTAAATGTTCACCAATTCCCTTGAAACCTTCGCCGACCGTTCCCAGAACGGCGTCCGCAATGGTCGGCTGGAGATCTTCTCGCATGGAATACAATCTAGAGTTCACCGGCCCTATATATATTTCACCAAAATTGACCGTTCGTTCGTCCACGGATATAGAAAATTATCTGGCCCAACAGAGATTCATTTTTCTCGGTTGAATGTATGTGTGTGTGTATGTGTATATATATATATATATATATATATATATACACGTATATACATATCTGTATATGTGCGTATTACATACACACATAAATTTCAATTAATATCAATTAAAATGAAGATGTAACGGTAAGTATTACAGATATAATGAGATAGGATTTTAAATGCGAGTACGACTCTCACGATTCGTTTAATTTGTAAATGCATTTTAAAATGTCGAAAAACCTTATAAAAAATGACGTTTTCAATTGTACTATATCGTCGGTTTTTTCCCCGTTTATACGCTGAACCATTTCTGTTTTAAAGTCGGTGGTAATTTCTCTGTCAATGCAATTGGATTAACTTCGACCGCGACCATTTCTTCATTGTTCAACCAGCTCAAATAGACAAGGTGCTATAGAATCCACATAATATAATTTCTTGTAAAAGAATAAATGATAAGAGATATAAATTGGGGATGGATATTAAAAATTACCTTATACTTTTTGGCAACTTTGAAAGCATGTTGCGATTGCAAACTTAATGCAGAGCTGCTATCTTCCGTGATATCGCCATTTTCACATTTTGGTATTTTCGCTTCTTTTTCTGGCAATTCATTTGCTTTATTTATTATATATACCGTAGAATCATCATGCATTATTATAATGTTCTCATTGTATGGATCAAAACAAATATTTATTATCGGAAACGGACGTGCCAACCATTGTTTCGGAATACGACTTTGCAAGTAATTTGAAAATTGGGTGTACTGTTTTCTGGGTATATTATATTCGACGATCTAAAAATATAACACGATATATTAAAGTTAAATTTATATGTCATATAAAGCTTGTAGCCATGTATATAATAATAGGACTATAATCCTGTGTCACATTTTATAATTTATTTTTCTTACCTTATGATCGGAGTATACAATGACGAGGTTTAATGTACCTTTTTGCACGGCCATAGCCGTTGGTGGACAACTATACTTAGGTAGTTGCCACGGTTGAAGAGATTCTTGCGTAAGATCTCCATCGACTTTATATACTGCAATACTGCTTCGACGATCCGCACATATTAAATATTTACTATCTGGTGAAAAACATACAAGGCTAACATTTACAATAGATTCATTCGTCGTTTGGAATGATCCAATGTGCCTCAAACTTTTCTTATTCAACTTGTATAATGTTACTACGTTCTCTTTCCCATCGTTGTTAATTGTCGCCAATAGTTTACCATTGTGGCTGAACAACATTTTCTGTATTCTGTTAGCAGATATATCGGTATCATTTTTTAATAACAAAGCGTCTCCCTCTACCACATCAAAATTGAATACTCTGACATGGGTATCCGTTGAATAGACAATTGTTTTTGAATCTTTACTAATGGCACAAGATAAAATACTTTCAACTCCTTTTGTTTTAAGTTCTAATAATTTTATAGGTTCTTCATCTAATTGATGTAACGTGCCCACTTTTACAGATTCTGAAGATGCTTTGACCGACGATCCGAGTCTCCATAATTCAAGATAATTGGTATAACACAACAATACACATCTAGACCTTTTACATAGAATAACGGAAGGTGGCTGAAGTAAAGGTGGATATTTAACTAATATTTTTGGAGGATAACTCGACTGTGCTAAATATCCATCTACTCCGGCAGAGTATAATTTACCATCTGCCTCTACCAATGCTCTAACGTCATGAGAATGTAATCTCCTTTCGATACCCTTTACCCACTGTGGTTTTCCACTAGATTTTAAAGTAACTTTACAGAAACTTCGTACGACAGGATCAACTCCCGCACAATAAACAACATTTTTTTCATGAGACAATGTGACTGCCAATATGTCAGCGGTATGACTTTCATGGGACTCGATTAAAGTACCCATATGAGGATCCCAAAAGGACAAATAACCACGAGAGTCCCCAGAAATAATTAAATTATCGTCTGTCACTGCGAGACACCATACGATAGTTTCTTTTTTCGCTTCCGTCCTAGAAGTAGTCATTTTATGAATTGCATGGCCTGAAACAGCGCTCCAAACTCTAATGGTATCCGTCGATCCAGTATATATCATTTCTCCTGTGTTATCCCATTTAATACATAGAATTCTACCTTTTTGTTTGTCAAATATCCGTTCATAAATTAACGTATCTTCTGCGATGGAAAACGTATTAATATATCCATCCTCTGTACCAACGGCAATAAGTGTTTTTTGCTGATTAACGTCCATACACCATGCTGCTCCACCTGTGACCGCTACCTTATATTTCATTCCCAATGTGATTAAATTATATTCCACGATTAGACCATGAAGACCAGTCGAGAAAAGTCTTGAACCGATCCAAAGAATGCTTTCCACAGAATTTTCAGAATGACCAAGGATTGTACACTCGACAAACGGTGCATTTCCAACGTTCCATACCTCTATCGAATTATCGTTTCTACGAATAACAAGAGAATAATATATGTAAGAAACATTTTCATACGACATTTAACTATATAACGAACTAACCTGGCAAGTGCTAATTTCTTCGTTTTTGGCTCGTGACACAAGCAAGTAGCAGATTTAGGTTCAAGATTATAAAATCTAACATTATGTATTTTAAACGTTGTCATGTTTCATTAAAATATCTTACTTTTCATTCATTTATAAAAAGATTTTAAATTCAAACAAAATATCAGACACACGTGGTATTCGAACTATTACGCCAATGTACAATGGTGTTATTACTAGCGTAGTGTAAGATTCTTCATCCGAAGAACCAATGAAAAGCAAGATTTTTTCTCTTCATTTTTATCATTGATTTATTTTAACAAAACGAAATGACAATTAATTAATGATAATAATATTTAATAATTAATTGATCGGCGAGATATCGATCGAACATAAACGATATATTAAACGAATAATTGTGCCAATAGTTCGACGCGACTCGTTAGCCAATGAGAACAGAGCTATTACAGAAAGAGATTGTCGCTACTTGGAAATATTTGGAAATACTTCTTCTTATCGATTTTCTTTTTTATTAAAGATGAAGACCCTTCAGCTCGAAAACTCTTTAATTGTTAATCTTCCATTCTATGGATATATGACCTAAATATAATAAGATAGGTATATCCTTTCTCTTGTTGGTAAATGCATTTCGCGCAGGCGCCTAACCTAAAAGAAAGCAACGTCACGCCCCTGTAGTTCATCCTACTTGATATCAATTACTTTTGGTTAGAAAAGCATTAAAACTTGCCGAAGTGCGTTGTTCATTCTGCTACGTTGGAAGATATATATATATATATATATACACACACACACACATATATATACATATATTAACAATTGAATTGCGTGAGAACAGTTTAAAATTGGCTTTTCGTCGAGTCGAAGACTTTTCTTCTTACAAGTTACGAGTTTTCAATCTTTTACATCTTATTCTTTCACGGGAAAGAGTTGTCAAAACCAAAATAATAAGGTAAATAAATACAAATTGCATTCGTCGCACGTACGTGCCTTATTATTGATTATAACTATTTCTAGAAGGTACCTTCTAGAATCTGATACATCCAATTGGCATGTACTTGCTATCATTTTACTAACGTATGCGTTCGATCAACATTTTATAATATATTTATCGAATTTTACAAAAGTACATTATTGCTCAAAGTGTCGCAACGATCGAGCGGTACACATAATATACTTATCTCGTACTGTTTCCGTATCTGATTCGACTTATCTCGACAATTTCACGGAAAAGCCGAAATAACCAGAAAATATCTGGGATTGACGTCTTACCTTAAGCTTCGTTTTAATTATTAAAAAACTACGTCTTATATCTCTTATACATAGATTTGTCTACGATTTGTAAATATCGATTTGAATGCTAAATATTTGGATAATTGTCGTTGTCCTCGCTTATTTACAAATTCTTCTTCGTTGTTTATTTGCGAATAATTAATTAATTATTTTTTCTCTTTTAACATTTCGACGAACGTATTTTCTTCGTAACATCGAATTGTTATAATTAACGGTTATAATGCATCTATAGTAATAATAAGCCTTAGGTATTCTATCGTATATTTCTTAGTAATTGTTATCTCCATCAAATAATAACAAAAGATTTTATTAGAGATAAGATAGATGTACATTATTCGAAGAATTTAGCTGTATTCATCGTTTTTTTAACTCTGTATTATTCAGCTTGCACACACACACACACACACACACATACACACGATTATAATGTAAGACGATATATATGTTTATATATTATTAGCGTGTTATTACCTTACGTCTTTAAGGTTGCTGATACATTCTTATGCTGCCGTTTTCTTATTATATTACACAATATCAACTGGTTATAATGATAGATTCTTTTTCAGTTAATACAAACGAAAAGATGACCACTTGGAACACACCAGGTGCAGGATACTATCCAGGGCAACAAGGTCTTAATATTTTTTTTACGTTAACAAAAATTATACTTCTTTTTTATATTAATTTGATGTATTAATACAGCATATAAGCACAACCTGCAGAATGCACTACAATAATGCTTCAAGCGGCATTTGTCGTTTCATCTCATCTTTATGATATTTATATATATAAACCCGTATTCATTAAGATTAACTAATGTCATTAAAGAAATTGTTACATTTGTTTTTTATTACTCATAATCTGTATATATATATATATATATATATATATATATATATATATGCATATATATATATATGTATATATGTATATATGTATATATGTGCATATAAAATATGCCAGCATCTTGTGACCCTGTAGGAAATATAGATTAAAGATATTAATGCAATATGTGCCAAAAGTTTCTCCGTATCAATATAGTCAAATACAGTTTCTCTGTAAAGCATAGTATTTTGGGCGATTAGTAAACGACATTTATCATAGATATATGATTAACGTGGTCCTGCAAGAAAGAAATATGTCATTCATATCTTTTGTATAATGTGGCAGGCAATGTATTAATGTTTATCACAATCGTGTAATAATAATTCTTCACAATAATGCATGCTTATATTATAATATAGAGGATATTATTGGAATATTTTCATTCATGTTTTTCAATATTTGTTGTACAGGTTTTCCTTTCCCACCACAAAATCCTGGTTATCCACCGCCACAGGAAGGATATCCACCTCCGTATTCTGGAGGAAACGTTCCGCCACGTAAAGAAAATTCGTTTAATAGACAAGTTGTCTAAACGTTTATATTGGTTACATTATATTTTCTTTTATTTTAGCGCCAGGATTTGTACCACCACCAGGGGTACCACCTTACGGTCACGTTCCACCTACCACTGGAACACCATTTGGTGTAACTCCACAGCCAGGAATGTATGGTTCAAGTTATGCAGAAGATCCTTTACAAGACGATGTAAAGGGATTTGAATTTAGTGACAAAACAATACGAAATGGGTTTATTAGGTATTAATCTTAATATTTAAAACATTAATCAGCGTTCTTGTCGGTCATTATTCATGGAATGAAATAATTACTTTTTTCTTTATTTACAGAAAAGTATATTCCATTTTAATGATTCAGCTATTGATTACTTTATCATTGATAGCTACATTTCTGTATCATAAACCAACACAGAGATGGGCGATGCAACATCGAGAAATATTTTGGATTTGTTTTGCCGCGACAATAATTTTGATCATTTGTATGGCTTGTTGTACCACTGTTAGACGTAAGGCTCCGATGAATTTCATCTTTCTTTTCTTATTTACGTTAGCGGAGGGAGTCTTATTAGCGATGGCTGCATCTACTTACAAATCAGAAGAAGTAAGTTACATTTTAAGAAGGAAATTATCCTTTATTATAGAACTAGTTTAGTATTATTAATATGCGATCCTTTCTCTTCTCAGGTATTGATGGCAGTCGGAATAACGGCAGCTATTTGTTTAGCGCTAACAATTTTTGCGTTTCAAACGAAATACGATTTTACCAGCTGTCATACCATTTTATTCATAGCCGTTGTCGTCTTACTCATATTCGGTATTATTGCAATGATCTGGCCTAGTAAGATCATGCAGCTTGTTTACGCATCGTTAGGTGCGCTTATTTTTTCATTCTATTTGATTTATGATACTCAAATGATAATTGGAGGTAAACACAAGTATTCGACTTCTCCCGAAGAGTACATTTTTGCGGCATTGAATTTGTATCTAGATGTTATTAACATTTTCTTGGACATTCTTACTATCATTGGCGCGTCTCGGGATTAATGTAAAGAAAATACTTGAGCATTCCGCTGTATTAAACTTTTCTACTAAATGCGGCTAGTAGGCTTTAATTTGTCGTCACCTCGCTTTGACTCTCTATACCTTTTCTTAGAGAGTACATCCACAGGTGAGGGAAGGGAGAAGTGTAAAGCAAATCTTTATTGTCTAAAGAGAATTAACTTTTACATATTTTCCTATTCATGGACAACAGAAAGAACACAAAGATTGGTTACCATCTGACTGAATTTTTTTTATGTTTTAAAGTCTTTCACTTTAGTGAAAAATATTTCTTATTATCTTGTTGTTACTTTGAAATTATGTGTATTATATAATTCTTCTCGATCTTTAATATGAATATCATCGATAATCATTTTATCCTCGTTAATTTAGTTGTTGCGCATTCAATCATTATTATAATTTCAATCAAGTTAAAGATAAAGATTATTTAGATGAGATCATTTCGTATAAAGCATGCAAATAATTTTCATTTTTATTAATTAATTCGTTTCGATTATTCTTTCTTTTTGTTTTTTTTTTCACGCCCCCCGATTATTTATCCTCTTGCAAAGTGAGAACTGTCATTTCTCAGGGACGACTTTCATCTCTGACAATTCATTTTTCCCGTTAAAAATTTTAATTAGAAACTATCTCTACTTGTATTTTCTTTTCTCCCTCCCCTGCTCCCCCCCCCCCCCTCCCCCTCCCCCCGATACCAAGTTATAAGTTACCTTCACGGCCCGTTCCTTCGGGTACTCGTAACATTATTGTTATGCACCTTATATAGGACTTATAATTGAATTGTACCTTATAATTGAATGATACAATTGCTGATGCTATTAATACTATTACTTCTTACTTTAATAAGGAAAATATTATATATTATATGTAAGTATTATATGCAGTCTAGCGATTAATAGAAAATTCTAGACTCTTTATGTATTTATATAGATATTTCTCAATATGTTTAATCTTTGTTCATGTTTGAATAATAAAAGTTACAGATACAAAATAATTATTATTTTATTTCTCATTGTATTTGTATATGGTAAAAAGACTTCATTCGTATTTGTAAAATATTTCGTAAAAACGCGCATAATTCGATTTATCGAAATATAGTATATGATATTAGTACTGAAAGGATCATAGAGCAATAATAGAATAATTTCGAAATCTTGAATATTTATATTTATAGTAAATTATTCTTACACAAATAGGATAAAAGCTTTTGGTTTAATTTAAACTTAAAAAGGATCCAATTGGAACTTAATTGTAAAGAAGCCATATGATGTGCAACATTCATATGAAAAAGCATTAAAGTTTACATAGATAATAGATAAAAATGTTTAAAATGTTAGCATTCATTCTCATGCTTCTTATGGTAACAAATTTTTGCTTTGTAACAAACGATATGATATAACTTTGTTCGACCACTAATGCATATTTTCGTATGAAAAAATGAAGCCTTATCGATAAAGCTAATATTTATAGATATTTTATATTAGCTTTCTTCATCAACGGTGGTTCAGTCTGTATACGTGCATTAGACACACTTACAAATATATTTATGTATGCATAAAATAGCATTTACAGTTCATTCTCCGAAGCCTGTGGATTATAATGAAAGAATTTTACATTGAAAAATAAAGTTGGATAATTTGTAGACAACCTTTCATTAAATTGTACTCAATGTTATTACCACAATTGACATCCAATTAACTGAATCAGTTTTGATCAGGCAGTGTCACAAAGAGTTTAATTATGCTATTATATTTTAAATTATGTTCTATATCTATCCACAAATCTATTTCAAGTGGCACGCGTTTATATATATATATATTTATGTGTATGTCTGTGTGTGTGTTTGTGTGTGTGTATATATATATATATACATACATATATATACATGTATATATATATATATATATATGTATATGTATAGAGATAGATAGATATAGATAGTTTATTATGCGCCATTAAATAAATAATATAAAATTAGCAGCACCGATTGGAACTTCTCTCCACCCTTCTATCGACAGTTACTCTATCCGGAGCATCCTGCGGTTCTTTTCCCTGAATTTTTTCCAAAATTGCTTCTGCTAATTCACTGAATGCCCGATCAATATTAATGTTAGCTTTCGCTGATGTTTCCATAAATCTAATACCATGCTCTCTTGCTATCTAAAAGGAACAATTTTTTTTTTATTAGCAACATGACTGTTAGAATGCTATTGGTATTGATTAAAGTATATAATATTTATCTTACTGCTTCCCCTTTCTCAGTACTAACAACACGTTTATCTTCCATATCACTTTTGTTACCAAGTATCATTTTTTCTACATCTTCATTTGCATGCTGCAAGAGTATTGATTATGAAATATGACAGGATTGAGAAATAATTGATGTTGCGTTATAAAGAAGAAAAAAAAAAGAAAAAAAAAAAAAAAAGAAAAAAAGAAAAAAAAACTTTTGAAAAGAATATTTACCTCATCGATATTTCTTAACCATTTAACTATATTCTCAAATGTTTTTTCATTTGTTATGTCATAAACAAGCATTATACCCATGGCACCTCTGTAATAGGACGTCGTGATAGTATGAAATCTTTCTTGGCCAGCGGTATCCCTACAAAGAGATCTCCATTTAAAAGGGATTGTATCAAGGGATTGTATAACAAGTTACGACGTTTCTTACCATATCTGTAATTTGATCTTTTTCCCTTTCAACTCGACGGTCTTGATTTTGAAATCAATACCTGTAAAAATATGACGATTAAAGTCTAACCTAAATGATCGAAGGAAAATCGTTCTGGGAAACAATCGAATGGAAAAAAAAACGACCGATCGAAGGTGATTAATCGCTTTAAATCTCACCTATGGTAGATATGAAGGTCGTAGAGAAAGCGTCATCGGAAAATCTGAAGAGTATACAAGTCTTGCCGACTCCGGAATCACCGATGAGGAGTAACTTGAACAACAGGTCGTACGTCTTTTTCGCCATTTCACGGAGCTGCTTCTCGTTAAGGATACTTCGAATTGAAGAGGGAAAAAGAACGACTGCTCGTGATAGTGCACAAAAGGAAGAGGATATCCTGAGGATCGAGGATGTTTCGAACATCGAACGCTTACGTGCCGATATAGAAGAATTTCAAGGTCGAACGAGGGCGCGTCTTCGAGGTAAAACGAGTGTCTCGGTACGACGGGAAAACCGGTCACAGGGAGAACTATTAAAAGACGACGCGACGACGCACGATGATGCGGCGCCCAATGAAAGGCATTGGGGTGACTTCGTGCTTTGCGCTCGCGAAACGATGACGAATTTGCTTTTCCTAAGATCGTCGGAATACGATTATATCTATATCGTCTTTTCAAGCGACATGTTTCGTCGACGATGACGACGACGACGACAACAACGACCACGACGACGTGTATGTTTTTTAACGCATTATACAACTTCCCCTATCATATTTATGTATTATCTATGTGTATAAGTACGAATGATGCGTCTCAATGATCGTTCGTAGAAAGATCCTTTTGGTTACCACGGGATGTCACTAGCAATTCTCATACTATTCATCTTTTTTATCTTGGAACTTAAACAACGGTCTTCTCCCCCCTCTCTCTCTCTCTCTCTCTCTCTCTCTCTCTCCTCCCGAGCACAAAGCGATCTGTGTTCTTTTTTTGTCACCCCGTTCGTTCGATCCACATGTTTGACAATTACATAGAAAAAGCGTAAAAATAGAGTCGAGTTTTTCCTTCGTTTTCTTTTGCCAGTAACATCAACGTTGTCGTCGTTGTCGTCGTTGTCGTCGTCGTTGTCGTCGTCGTCGTCGTCGTCGTCGTCTCTAATTTTGCGTCATTCGATTTAATCGCAGATCAATTATGTTACTTTTTGAAATTTTTCTCGTTTATATTCTTGTAGAGATTCGAGGAGAATGGGGATTCGCGACGAAGGAACGCGATAGGAAAGTATATTACGCCTTTGTTGCAAATGCACGCTAACTTTATAACCACGATACTATACTATACTATAGAAACGATCGATTTCGCGTTGAATTTCATCCATCGTTCTCCTCTATAGCCTATAGTATATAGTACGGTGTAATCGACGAAGAACGCATACGAATGTCGCACAGGACGTAAGAAATACGTGTACGACTTTTTTTTGCGTGTCTCTCTTCTCGCAAGCGAGGGACAAGGGCAGAAGCTTCGGAATGTCGTCGTAAGACGGCGCTATGAACGCTAGTCGTCATTTGTTGTCTCGCAACAACGTAGTATGCAGTTTCCTCGAGCTGTATGGGGGTTTTATCGTCGATGGATTTCCAACGGATACGTTGAAAAATATCGTCTTTCTCTTTTGCACCGGGCACCGTGGTTTAAGACGACACGTGACGAGAGAACATGGCTGCGAAGGTAAAACATTACGACCCCTTCAGCTCGGCGAGTTCAGAGAGGTAAATTCTTCAAATGTTCCTTTTTAATTCCTTTCTTCCATGTCTTCGAATCAACTGACGTTGTTTATCTTTTTTTCGTTCTTTCCTTCGTTTATCTAGCGAGGATGAAGAAATTTATTCGGACGATTGTGAATGTCTCGTCGATGAAATTTGCGACGAAGCAACACCCACGTCCCAATCGCCAAGACCACCTTCCACTGGTACGAACGTATTTTTTCGTATTTTTTTTTTTTTTTTTTTTTTTTTTTTTTTTTTTTTTTTTTTTTATATATCTTCTTTCAAAGATAAAGTCTTTACGATGAATTCATTTTCTTCCATTGTAAGTTATACTTCTTCTATCCGCTCTCCCTCAACAGTATGTCTCCGATTTATCCGTGTGATCTCGTTATCTCGTTTATTTTTTAATGTTTAAGGTTGCGAAAGAGTTTGCTTCAAAGAAATATGGAGTACTCGCATATGGCAACAATCAGATGATCATTTATTTCAAACAGATATCTTTACTTTCTCGAAGAAGACAGCTTTTTCCACTACAAGTACTAATGCCTTCCTTCCTCTTTCCCCTCCCCCTCCTCTATTATTTTCCTCTTTCCTTATTTACCGTACGATTATAAAATGATTATCATTAGTAATTTCTCTACTTATTAAGGACACAAACCTGTATCGATGTAAATCATACGATATTTGATACAACAGATTTGCAAAAATCACCACGCTCGAGAAGGCAACGTACTACAAGTATGACGCAATCTAGTAAAAAGACATCCGCGGAATCTATCATTAGAAGTAAGAGAGGAACCATATATACGGCTGGTAGACCGCCTTGGTATAATTCCGCGGGACAGCAGGTAGAACCCTTCGTAATTGGTAAGGAATTTTTCTGCCCGAGTAGAATTTAGACCCTAACTAAAGTCCATACAAAAAAGGCGATAAATGTGTTTTAGGAATATGCGGAGGTAGTGCTTCGGGAAAAACTACAGTAGCTACAAAAATAATAGAATCGTTAAGCGTACAATGGGTTACTCTCCTCAGTATGGATTCGTTTTACAAAGTATGCAGTATACAATTAATATTTTCATTTTTAATTAAAGGAAAAGTATTTAAATTAAATTGCCACATGATGTGTAGGTATTAAATGAGAAACAGCATGAAATGGCGGCACGCAACGAATATAATTTCGATCATCCGGATGCGTTTGATATAGAACTTCTTAAGACTACGTTGCAACGATTAAAAGAGGGAAGAATGGTGGAAGTTCCTATTTATAATTTTGTAACGCATCGTAGAGAGAGTAGGACTGTAAGTTGTTAAATTAAATAGGACTAGTATGCGAACCCGTTCTTCAGTGCTACTTCCTATAGTGTAACATGCTCTTTGTTTTCTTTTTATAAGAAAACAATGTATGGCGCCAATGTCATTATATTTGAGGGAATATTTACCTTTTATAATGTGGACGTATTGAAGGTAAGTAATTAATGAAGTGTTTAATTAGGAGGTGTCAAAATATCTTAAATCTTGAAACAGAAAGTAAGAGTCCGTATGTTGAATTTTTCCTTTTCTTTTTCTTTTTTTTTGTTCTTCTTTTTTTCTTTTTTTTATTTCCATAATCATCGCAAAGATGTGCGATATGAAGATATTCGTTGATACCGATGCCGACGTACGACTTGCACGAAGATTACGTAGAGATATATCGCAAAGAGGAAGAGACCTGGAAGGTGTCTTGAAACAATATTGTACTATGGTACAACCTGCCTTTTATTATTACATAGCACCGCTTATGGTCCATGCCGATATTATTGTACCTCGCGGTGGAGAAAATGAAGTTGCTATAGAACTTATTGTACAACATGTGCATACGCAATTGCAATTGGTATGCATTTGTATATGTCATTATTGTCGTGATCTGAATATCAAATTCTTTAAGCGCAATTATATTCTCTTGATTTTAGAGAGGATTTAAGCTTAGAGAACAATTAGCCCATTCTTACATAGGTCAACCATTGCCAACGTCTTTGTATTTACTACCTGATACACCACAAATTAAAGGTCTACATACGTTTATAAGAAACAAGGATACCTATAGAGATGAATTTATATTTTATTCGAAACGTTTGATACGGTTGGTGATAGAGTACGCATTGTCTCTGTTACCATTCGAGGTAAGGCGACGAAAGAAAATTTAAATAAATAAAGATATTAGGTAAAAGGGAAAGAGTAATAATTTGTCCAAATCGTTTAATAACGAAGGAAGTCACGGTGGAGACACCACAAGGAATACCTTATCAAGGGAAACGTGGTGCGACAGACAAGATCTGTGGCGTGTCTATATTACGAGCTGGAGAAACGATGGAACAGGCGGTTCGAGATGTATGTAAAGACATAAGGATAGGAAAAATTTTAATACAAACGAATCAACAGACTGGTGAACCTGAGGTATTTATTATATTAGTAAACGTCATTTCGAAGCTGTTCTTAAATATTATTTTGATGCAATTCCTTCTTTCATAGCTGTATTATTTGCGTCTTCCGAAAGATATCAAGGATTACAGAGTCATATTAATGGATGCTACGGTAGCAACCGGTGCTGCTGCTATGATGGCCATTAGAATTCTTCTCGATCACGACGTAGCGGAAGAAAATGTTTTACTAGTCTCTTTACTTATGGCGGAATCAGGTGTCCATTCTATCGCCTATGCTTTTCCAAAAGTGAAAATAGTTACTTCCGCTTTGGATCCAGAGATAAATAATAAATTTTACGTACTACCAGGTATCGGTAATTTTGGTGATAGATATTTCGGTACCGAGCCATCTTCCATAGACGATTAACGAATTTTATGTTATTACAACCGATCGTTTGTAATTTTACTGGTTTCTTGCCTCTGTTATTGTGATAGCGCGTACAATCATTTCTCTCGTACAACTTATTATTTAAGTTTTCAATTTCTCCCCCGTTCGGAGAGTTGTACAGTTACAGTGATTTCTTAATCATCTTCTTGTTACGTGATTTCTTTTGTCGAAGATAAGTTTGTAATAAATTCTAATCACATTGGTATTTTATCTTTTATGATGTGTGTGCGTGCGTGCGTGCATGCGTGGGTGTGTGTGTGTGCATAAACGCACACACATATACACTTTATTGAATTGTTTAGAAGGTTGTTGTACCAATGTTAACAACTTCAGCGGCTGCACCAGTTCCATGTAGTTGTCTGTAACCTCTAGCGCTCGCTTGACGCGATCGGCGCCATGTATCCAAATTATTGTTAGCAGTACTAATTGGTTGACCCAGAAGATATGTGATCAGTCTATCAAGAGCCTCGAGATCTTCGTTGGTACTTGTAGAATCTGGTAAACCGTTTGGCGGACGATCAATGCTCGTGGAACGATCAATTATTTCGTCGCTTGACCTTTCATCTCCGTTATTGACGCCAACGTGCATAGGAAGACCAAGTTTCGGAGTGATCTATAAATTAATAAAATTTCTCATCATTTTGATTCGTTGCACTGCGATCTACTGACGTTTAATTATATTTTTTAACAAATTTTCATCATTCACCTCTTCTGCCCCATGCCCATAACTCATTCTTTGAACTTTTCTAAAGGTCTTGTCGTCGATTGCCTCGCGTACGGCTTCGTTTAGAGTTCGTTCTAATACTTTTTGTTTATTTTTACTCAACCCGTCATAATAGCTGTTACATCATTATTCATTTATATAATGTTATCTGTCTGTATCATTTGATTACACGCTCACTCACCTTGAATCCAGAGAACTGTTATCTCTGGAAATATTTTTATCACGAACCAAACGTATATCATGTTCCCAGAATCGTCTTAATTCCGGTGTAGAAGTGTACGGCGCGGCTACTTCCTTAATCTAAAATAACACTTCATAAAAGATAGATAATATGAAGAATAATACGAAGATGGGCCTTCGAATGGATTACCTTGAGGACTATTATCGCCGTGATGAAAATACACATTACATTAATAAAGGTCAAGCATGCACTGATAATCCCATTGCAAAAGAACTCCACGGGCAGATAATCTGTATAAACGTATACGTAAGAACTGTTGAAATCGGTATAAGATTCTCCTTTTATGTGTGGCATTTTGATAGGCCGATATATCAACCAGATGCATCCAAGAGCCCAAAACAAGCCCTACGATAGGTGACGACTTACGTTAATATGCAATTCGATTATATCGTATTTCGTTGGATTATCGACTTACGCAATTAACAACCGGTGGTAACAACGAAGCGGATATAGCAACACCGATCAAAGGACCATTACTACCTTGCAACAAGGCTACGGCTACGCCTGTACCCGAAGGAAGTGCCCACAGTACACCCATCCAAAGAGATCTGTAGTTACCTCTATGGAAGATATTTCGTAATTTAGACTAAAGATTGCTTTCTCACTCGAGTAACTTCATTTCATTCTATCAATGACAGCTTACCTGCCTTTCATTTCGTCGGTCGGCCAATCGTTGGAACCCCAAGGCATTTCTGTCGTGCCAAGGATAAGGCCAAATATAAATCCAAAAAGTATAGACAAGAATATACCTAACAAGAGACTCTTCAATCCAATCAATTGAAGACTTCTATCTGCTATTATCGTGCCAAAGGTCAAAGACATAACGGGTCCCTTTATTCAAATAAAGTCAAGGGATTGAAAGAAACTAAATGTGTACTTTGTGCGCGTTGTGTGTTCGTCAAACAACGAATCTCTCTTACCATCAAAGGTGATACCAACATGGCTGCTACCACATTGGTTGCACTGTTTTCAACAAGACCCAACGCAGCTAAACAACTAAAGATTTTGTACTTTTTATTACTAGATAAAAAAAAAAAAAAAAAAAAAAAAAAAATTCATTGTATCGTACAATAATACGAAATACTTTTACTTACTCTGCCGTTAACACCAGTAGAACGTAATCGAAAGAAAGATCGCCGCCACTTCGAACACCATCCACCACTTGCTTGACCGTCAACTTTGAACGTATAGAATCTACGAAATCAGTCCAAGCATCCTTCCGATCCTGAGCTTCTTTTTTCCTGAAACGCAGACGAGCTACGACGGTAATGAAGTAATAAAGAGGACTCGTCAATTCGAAATTACCTGCGAGCTATTTCGTCCTTGATCATTGCCGATCCGTTAGATCCCACGCTATTATAGGTACACTGAGTCGGTATTACACTGAAAATATCAATTCACTATTTTATTTTACCATCTATTGTTGATGTTTTTCTTTTCTTTTTCTTTGCGCCGTAGATGCATTTTACCTGACGATGGAGTTCATTTTAACTCCTATGCCCATCTCTGTGAGACAATGTATACAGTTTTCACATGCATCGCCAGCAGGAACTGGGAATATGACCTGATCCGATAGATACGAAAATAGAGATGCAATTCAATATAAATAGAAGAACATTCATTGTTTTACCTCGTAGTACATGTTCTCCTTGTCTTTGCACCATACAACGTGTTCCACTTTCAGTTTCTTCAGCAATTCTGTCAACACCTGCCAGAACGAATTTAAGAAAAATATTATAAAGAAATATATTAATTAGTAATTAGAGTAAATATCTAAAGTTAACCGTTTCCATGGAAACGAATATAGGTGTCTTCGAACGAAGAGCAGCCCGAGCACGTGAATATTTTCGCGATGAAACGTCCAAGTCAGTGTCATCGTCGCCAACGAGCGCAATCTCGTTCTCCAGATGGTCGTCGTCTTCGTTGTCGAGCGTGAGAAGCTGTGCTTTAGTTTTCACTTCTTTCAATCGTAAATCGACTTTAGGTCCGGCGACAGAGGGAGTAAGTTCTTCAGATTTTTTCGGGGGTTTCACGGGGATACCAAAAACTAGCTCGTGCTCGTAACTCAAAGTAGGAATGCACACTAAAAATACTACACCACCGGGCATTTTGATATTGCGTACGATCTCGTGCGCGTGACTAAGAGTCGAATTTTGCGTCCGTTCGAAAGAATCTCTCTTTCTCTACGGAGACATTTGAGTTTCTCGGACGTAGGTACAAACTTAATTAGCCTAACGTTAATCATTTTGTTATTTGAATCTTAATGGAGAGAATGAACATCTGTGAGTTTGCAGAACGTGATCACAACGTGATTTTTGATCGAGAAAACAGTTTAGAAAACAGGGACAGGAGGATGGAAGGAGGAAAGGTTGCGTCAGTTCTTTTTTTCACATTTTTACGAAATAAACATTTACTTTATTTTTCCATTAACAAATCAACAGCGTACAGACTAACGCCTACAGACAAGTAGTCTCCGACGTTTTCGCTTTGTATTTGTTCCTTTTTTTTTTGTCTAGAGAGCTAGAGGCCGCGAGGAATAATTTTTCGTGCGAGGGGAAGTCCTGAATTCGTTTTCTACGAATTATCATCAATGAAAATTGGACTAGAGTCATCCTCTTGGTTAGCGAATAAGAAGATCAGAAACAGCTCGATCATTGAATCTAAAGTCTAAACACGATACGCAAGATAAGCGTCGGCATTTGGAACACACGACGCGAATAAAATATGCTATTGCGCTTAATATATATATATATATATATATATATATATATATATATATATATATATATATATATATATATATATATATATATATTTTCTCTTATCGAAAGGTTCTTGCGGGTTTATATTAAAGGGTGAACGAAGCACGAACGATATATTCGATTTTATCAGAGATCAATCGTCTCTATATGCGTGAAACCTTAAATATTAACTAACAGACATTTTGCTCTTGTTTTATTTCACAAATTTCATATACCGTGGCGCATTTATTATTATGGTGAAAAGAAAAAACAACTAATCGAACCAATTCAAATTCAATTCCATAATAGCCATCGTATTCTATCGTCGTTATCGTTCGTCTCTCATTGCTTCGAAATCCGAAGATATCTGAATGTCGGACAATTCGAGGGACAACCCCCTCGCTCGTTTGTTTAACCATTTTACAGCTTCCATCATTCATATGATATAATATGATCGTAACGACAGCGTTTCTACTTTGATTCCTAAGAATTATTTTAACTCTTCTTATGTACACGCACACGCACACGCACACACAGATATTATATAAGATATAATTCTTCGTGCAAGTACTTACATACCACGGCGAAGTGCCAACTCACGTACGAGGTTTTCACGGTTATTTCTCTCACTATCAACATGAATTGTTTAAGGCCATTACACGAGAAGATAAACGCATTTTCCTTTTCGATCCTTCGTGTAGCAACAGCAGCAGCAGCAGCAGCAGGAGCAGCAACAGCAGCGTTCAGAGTGCGAAAGATCGCAATTTTGTACACACGCTTATCCCTTGTAATTAGCTGGACCGCTTGCTCTGGTCCTAATCGATGTCTATAGATCCATGAGATCTATAAGACCAATAAGCGAGCGCGACTTATTTGCTCTCGGAAGATTTGGAAGATCATTCTTCTCCCCTGTTCTATGGGAACCTTAGTATGTCGTCGAAAGGAATATTTGTTTTCTTAACGGAAAAGTATCGAAATCTCGTAGGACCGAGTTTTTCTAAGAAAATTTAATTTCTCTTTTCATTCGAAAGAAGCCCGTAGAGCTTCCTCGATAATTTCGTTTCTTTCAATTCTTTCGCAATCATCCTAGGAGAAACTTGTCCAATAGCGTTTGGACGAACTAAGGCAAATCGATGAAATAAAATCTAGACCGAGGTTCCGTTCTTTTCTCATAGCGGTGTGCTGGGTCGTCGTAGTAGAGACGACAGGAGGGAACGAGGACGTGCTTGTCGTCGCCAAGGACGACGTAAACAACGGTGCACGTCTTCGTAGGACGAAGCCTATTTCTCGACCCTCTGCAAGGGTCAAGCTCTCTCTTCTTCCTCGTCGATCTCCTCCGAAGATTCCGAAGAGGATGTTATCAGGGCTGTCGAGAGGCTTGGCAGTTGGGCCGAACAGATGTACGACGACATTCTTAGTCTATGAGGATTCCAGCATTCTGGAAGCGAACGAGAACCATCCTCGTTTCTCTCCAATGTTCTTTCCATCGTTCCTAATTCCATCATCGACACTCTTCGCACAGAACTTTTGCTGCTACTATCTGCGAGAGATCATTCGAGAGATGAATATGAGTATAGACAGAGTTAAAGGAATGAAGGAAATAAAGAAAGAAAGAAAGTAAGTTTTGGTGAGAAAAGCTCGTTAATTGAAGGGGGGAAAAAAAAAAGAAAAAAAAAAGAACGAATTTAAAAGTGTCGTGCTCGAAAATGATAATCGACTGCCTACCTTTTGCCTAACATCAGTCCCTGGCTCGAACGTGTTAACTTTTCGATTCTTCCGTTTTACCTGTGTTTCTCGTGGGCGTGGAAAACTCTTCCATCCCGGTAACCGTGTACTCGTCGCACTCGTCGACAGTTTCCTGACGATCGATGTGATCCGGCGTACCGACGCTCTCGCGTCGAAACAGACCGATCACGGATTGTACTTTTGGCTGCTTTATCGTACCTTTGAGAATGAAATTTTTTCCTGAAGATTATTCGTCAACCTATAGATCGTAGACAAATAGATCGGGAGCTTTTAATGGGGTTGCGTCGGGAAACGTACCAAGCAAGGTGGCGGAAGGCGAGCTGTACGGGAGGTACTCGTTTTGTTTCAACGGATGTCCGGATTCATAGTCGTCGTCGCGCTTCCAAGGCAATACCGTTTCCTGACGATCGATGTGATCCGGCGTACCGACGCTCTCGCGTCGAAACAGACCGATCACAGATTGTACTTTTGGTTGCTCTATCGCACCTTTGGGAATCAAGTTTTTCGTTTGTTTTCTCTTCGCGCACCATATCGTCTAGGACGATAATAGAGAAGAGATATTCGAGAGATAAAAAAGAAGAGCGTACCTAAGAAGGTAGCGGATGGCGAACTGTACGGGAGATACTCCTTATTGGCGCACCAAGCAGGAAATTCGTTTTGTTTCAATGGATGTCCGGATTCATAATCGTCCTCGCGCTTCCAAGGTAACACGGTTTCTGTCGCCGTTGGCGTCGTTACCCTATAACTTTCGCCTATTAGGCGTAAAAGAACACCCTTTTGGAATACCTTTCTTTGAAATTGTTCTTTCGTCTTTTCTTTTTTTCAAATTACCTACCGTCACGCGCGAATTTCATATCGGCATCTTCGGTGTTTATGGTATCCATTGAGGTAGTAGCCGTGGCATGATGCGCGTCTGGATTAGCATTCGACGAATCTAACAAGGTAACGAAGTCAATGATCGAAAGGAACATCGGTAGAAATATTAAAAAGTGGTCGATGAAGGAGGAATGATATTTTTACCGGAAGTACGAGCCGTGAAAGTTATAGCCGAGTCCCAGTCTTCCTTACTCGAAGGTTTCGAGGTGTCCCCGTTCTCCAATTCGTACAGCACGCCATTCATGTAGTCTGTAAGGAGGTATGAGGAGCTTTAAGTTACTTCTTCGGAAGTCGTTTATCGATCGTGTTTCATACGTACCTTGCGTGAATAATTTTGTCGAACCGTTTTGTTGGAACTCTGGGAAACTCACGTGATTCTGCTTACCGTCCTGCGCGAAAATTGCGAAGAGAGAGAGAGAGAGAGAGAGAGAGAGAGAGAGAGAGAGAGAGAGAGAGAGAGAGAGAGAGAGAGAGAGAGAGAGAGAGAGAGAAAGAAGGAGGATCGAAATAGGCGTGCATGGTAAATGTTAATACTTTAGTATGAAGGAGTTGGTATATATAATCTTTCAACTTACCTTGAGTAACTTCTTGCTACGTTTGTGCCGATGCTTGTGCTCGCCCATCATACGTCGTATATTCATGTGCATTTTATAATTGACTTGGGTCGATAGATCCCGATCGTTGACCGCGTGTCTACTGTAACTCAATCGTCGGTGCTGCGACGGTAAGACGGTTTACAGTTTAATTAAAATCGGCTATCCCTTCTTACAGCTACCCTACAGCGTCGCAAGGCGGTCGTTTCGTTTTTTCGTCTCTATATTTTTTCACTATCTTTCGCGCACGCGCCTTTCTTTTTCGCGAGGCTCACCCGTTTGTAAGGCTTGCAGAGTTCTTCCGCCAGAAGGTGATGTATCCTCGCGTCTGTCAAATCTTTCTTCGATGGATTGTACTCGAGTTCCTGGAGATCGATATTCCAGCCGGTCTCGAGCTGGCTGCAACTCGGACTGGAACGAGGAAGAACGAGACTGCGTTTTATGATTACGAACTGTTCTTTCTAATTCGAGATAGATACTATTATACCCAACCCCTTGCTGCTGCCTCGATTACGATGAGCAACAATTGGGGCTTCGATGTCGCATCTACGATGATACGAATCGAATTTATTACTTTTCTTTTTTTCTTTCTTTCCCTTTTTCCCCAGGCAATTCCTTTACCTTCCGTTGAATTGTCCGGTGTTGCTGTAATTTCGAAATATGGCGGACATACTCTCGGTGCCACTGATATTACCGATCGTCGAAGCGTTTCGTCTTATGTAGTCCATGGCATCCTTCATCGCTAGCTTTGAATAGGTCTCCAAAATCTTCGGCTCGGCGCCATAATGATTTCGCACGAGATACGGTCGAATAAATTTGTTGTCGAATCGTTTGAATCTAAAAAAATATCATACATTTTTTTCCCCCTTTGCTTATCGATTGGATCATGTGTTTGTAAATCGATCGAAGCAAATTTATTTTTCAAAGCGTTGGAAGTCGAATTTAAAAGAATGAAGAAAGATTAATGTCTCCTTTTTATAGAAAAATGTATTTGGACTCGTGCCACTTTTAAAAATAAAATCTCCTGCGTATATACTCGCCTTTCACATTCCACTTACTTGTCTCGCACGTGATAATTGCCGTGTTTCCCCAAGATGTCCTCGATTCCAGCCATCACGTGATCCATTATCTGCATAAAAAAGGCCAGTAAAAGGAAGGATAAAAGTTTGTGCTGGTCATCCTTTGGCAGAATATTTGCATTGACACGCGTTTTTGTGTAGCTAATGAACATGACTCACGAAGCTTTGAAAATTGAAGGATTATTTTTATGGCGCGTATCTAAAAGTACGATCCGTCGGCTCTCGACCTTCGCGTGGAAATTCGCTCAAGGCTAAAGGAACATCGATCGATGGGGCGAAACCAACGAGCAACTTTTCAATTTCTTATGATATTACTTATTATTATTAAGGGAACGTAAAAAATTCTTTGATATAACCCAATGTCGTCCTCACCCTTTCATGGATTCTCTCGTTCATCGTAGGCTTCCTCCTCTCCGCTCTCTTCACATTCAGTATCTTAACGAGGGGTTTAATGGTGATTCCCTAAAAACGAATGATCAAGGTAATCCCGTGTACTAAGCTTTGTAATTTGTGATAAGCTCTTCGTGCTTCCCTTACAGAGACTTACCTGTATGAACACGGTGAAGTATATGACAGCGATAGTGGTCGTAACGAACATTGGTTGCAATTTCACGTGTTTTGGATCTATTAGTAAGACAAGAGCAAAGGCCACGGCACCTCGCAATCCACCATAGGACATGACGAATTTCTCCACCTTGTCCAGTTTATGCAGACGGAACTGATTAGCCAGTGCAGTCAGGACAATGACCCCTAAATATCAACGAGAGAACGTCTAACGTTTTCGACGCTGGATGCCCTTTCTTTTTAAGACAAATTTCGGTTTAATTTGACTCGACTAATCGAACGCAGCGAGCGATTAACTTTAAAAGACTCCAATCGGTTTAAACTAATTCCACGTAATTGTTCGTGGAGCTTGGAAAGTCTCGCAGTTTGACACACTGGTTGCATAAGGAGCCGATTATGGATTAGAATTTCCGAACAATCGAACCTGTTAAGCTATCGTTAAAACGGGAAGCCGTAAGCGCGTGACATTAAGCCAAAGTGACATAACGTTCACCGAGAGGGAAGAAATGAAATAAATGTCGTTTCGTAATGCCCATCTCTCTCTCTCTCTCTCTCTCTCTCTCTCTCTCTCTCTCTCTCTCTTTATGTTCTGCATTTTTCTTTATTTAGCTCTCGGATCATTTCTGTAAGTGTTAACACGTCGCTCGTCTTTGCTCGTTATCTCTTTCAAATTGAATTTCAGCTTGGTTGATCAATGTTGCAGCGTATAAAAAAGAAAAAACGATCTACTCGATTGATTTTCCTTTATAACGCGATATCATGGGCAAGTGACTTTTACTAACGTCATACAAGATGGTAGAGCTTTTATGATGTTTAAAAAATAAAGAATGACTTAAATATTACTATCGTAAACCTTTTTCTATCGGACTATCTATTTAAGCATCAACCGATCGTTTCCGTATTACGTTATATGGAACATTGGATTTTATATGGAGAATTTGATATACTCTAATGGGCATGCTGGCAGAGAGAGAGAGAGAGAGAGAGAGAGAGAGAGTGGACTAGTTGCATCATCTTGCAAGATAAAACATTGAAACAGTTGAATATTTTGAAATGTTCTGTCCTAATCTCTATCGGTTGTTTCATTAAAGCCATAACTCACCCACAATCCGGTAGACAGAACAGAAGACTATTGTCATCACGACGAACCATGTGTTCCAATTGTGTTTATTGTTCACCGTAGCCACACCGAGGAACATAAATATGATCGTCTCCGAGCTGCTCGATAGCATTTTCATTGTATACTTCACCGTAGTGTGAGACTTGTGCGATATATTCGCCTCGACGTAATTCTTCATGGTGATACCGCAGAAGGTGATCCTGTAATGAATTGTTCTCCTTGATCGCAATTTATGGAGTATGGATTAAAGTGTACATGTATATGTATGGATTTAATTGCGTCATTCGGTATCGGACACTCGTATATTTAGCAAAAGAATTTCTTTTTAAAATAGCTATTTCAAAGTAAAACAGGACACCAGGAGAGGGCTTTCCGATCGATCATTTACTCGAGTACGGATTATTTCCGGAAATTACTTCAAGACACCGTTTAACATTAAATTAACATTAATAGCATCGACAGAGTGTCGACTGGGTATGTTTATCGTAAGTCACTTTAATTTTCTAACGAGTTATGACTGAGGATGCTAAACAAAAAAAAAAAAGAAAAAAGAACAAAAAATAAATAGATTCGAACGAGAAAGCATTCTTACTTACGCCAATATCCCGGACATGTGAAAGATCTCGGCGTTAAGGTAAGCCAAGTAAGCCATGACGAATATGAAGATAGGTTCGATCACGCGGACATGATTTGTGAATCTAGTAACGAATCCTGTGGCGAATCCCCATATAACTCCTATTATCGTGCCACCGATCGCTACGACGAGAAACGAGGCTAGACCCGAAAGTATGTCCGTATATACGATTCTTGAAGGTCCCATCTCGCTGTACGTCTCGAACATGTGATACAGTACCTAGACAGAAGAGCAAATTTCCTGTTACTCTGCTCCTCGATGAGAGTCAATGAAATATATCGAGGAAATTCAAGCAATAAGAGTTAGTTAGACCGTAGAAGATATATCGTTTGCGCGCTCTACTTTCTTCGATTTTCTTTTCAAGCATTCGTTCCTTTTCATTGTTTTCCTAAAGCGTTTTTCCTCTCTTAGAAGTCGAACAAAGTGTCAATTGTAATAATTTTTCGAAAATTAATCGAAATACACTATTTCCAAGATAAGGAATACTTACGACAGTGACAGCATCGTTGAGAAGGCTCTCCCCAAAGACGACGATGTAGAGTATCTCGTTGACGTGTATCTCCTCAAAGACGGCCAACACGGCGACAGGATCGACGGCACTGATCAATGCCGAAAAAAGAAACATGTCGAGGAGAGGTGTCTCGCAGCCGAAGATATTTAATTTCCCAGCGACCCATAAGGATGCACCTGTTACAAAAATATCACACGTGCGATGATCGACGAGGACACTTACTTCACGTTCGATCGAAACGCACGAATCATTCGGATAAATAAAACGAGATGCGACATCGTTGACTTCTCGGAAGAGCCCTATCATCTTTCTCTAATTGAAGTCTCGTTAATCATCTTAATTGTTTCTTCGGATGCTTCAACGTCGAACTAATGGACCAGAGCCAGAATTGTCACGAATCATAAACGTTCTCCCATAGATCTAATTAATATATACGATTTCGATATTTTTCTACATGATTTTGTTTCATCTCGTTTATATTTATAACAGGAACAATTGTCGGTTACGAAGATTCGCCTAAGTTCGGAGCTAAGTTTGTGAGATAACAAGGATAGACATAGAAAGGTCATATCTTGAGAGGCCGTTCGTCTCTTGGCGCCCTAGGAAAGTGCGCACGCGTGCGAGCGTCTATTTTTACACGTGTTTTCACGGTCCTCTCTATTCTCTAGATATTATGCGCGCAGAGATGCTTATTTTTAAATTCTTCTTCTCGTGCGGCTTATAAGAAAGAATTATTCGTAGCACCAACCTATCGAGAGGGTGTTAAAAATGGTTCCGACGACTGCAAAAAGGAGAATCGTGCCGAGATGATCGAAAAATAATCGATTCGGCATAAAATAACCAGCATCTAGGATGATCGGTGGCAGCATGTAGAGAAAAAAGGTATCGGGTGTCAGAGGCGATACGTGGACGCTGCTGGCCTGGAACAGGAGGAGTCCGACGACGACTCCAACGACGATCAACAAACAGGACTCCGGAAAGATTTTGTTCAGTTTCGGTGCCATGTGAAAACCTGCACCGAGAAAAAAGAAATTTATTTATTATATATTGGTCCTTAAAACGTGCCAACGAACTTACGGTCCTCTATATTCATACTGGCATAATATCTTGGCTATTACTTAACGCCGGCTCAGCGATCAGTGAACTCTGCGAATCGGCAAACAAAACAAAGCGGACAGAGGTCACTAATTCGCGACGTTCGTACTTGTTCGAGACTCATTCGTACTTGTTTTTCAGGAATTTGAAGGAATTCCAAAGGAAATAAATGGCATCGGTCTCTACTTGGCAGAGTCAGCTCAGTCGATCGCTTTTGTTCATACTGTATTCGTAGGAAGGTATACTAAAAATATAATGTGACGCGCCGAGTCAAATAGAACACGGTCAAGCCCCCTACGTTCGAAAGGTACCCAAAGAGGATCGAAAGATTGATTTTCATCGATGTCTATTTTCTTACCAATTTTCGCGATACTAGCGAAAAATATCCAGATGCCAATAACGAAGGGTGTCTCCACGCGATGGAACTCGACCGACATGATGTGGTACTCTACTTCAGACTTTGGTTTATCGACTCCTCGATCGTCTTCAGAAGGCGAAGAGGAGTCGATATTGGCCGTATTGGATACCGAGAGACTCCTTGTTGAGACTTCGTCGGGCGAGAACTCGTAGAGTGGTCCCATTGGACCGAAACTACTTCCAGGATAGGGTTCGTGCAGGTTTCTCGGGAGTTCCTCGTCGTCGACGATCGGTCCGTGCATGGCGTATCGATCGTTCGGTATTCTACTCCTTTGATCTTGTACATCCCGTTTGGCCAGATTTATAAGACCAGCCTGACTTTCCTCGGGACAATTTAGAAGGAGTAGAAGAGCGACAAGGAGGCGAGCGAACGATAGGCTTCTTGACGAATCCATGGGTCCTTTGATGGTTTCTTTTCCAACGACGTCGATCCTGATGCTGTCGACGCGCTACTATTTCCGCCCGCGTACTTTTTTTCACTCGGTTCTTTTACCATCAGAAGCAAACGACGAGCCAGACTTTGTATTTTCTTTCTCTTTTTATTAAAAAATAACGGATGAGATAAACTTGAGAAGGAACACCTTTAGGAACTTCATTGTCTCTGTGATACTCATCTTCCGATTTTGTTTTTCGTAAGACTGTAATAGGATCGATATAGTTAAAGCAGTCGGTATATTGTTCAAGGAGAACGCGGTAGAAAATATCTTACCTCTAGTAATCACTCCTTTCCCGGTACGGTATAATGCTAGGTTCTTCAAGGAAGGCTACCGATGAACACTTAACGTATGAATCCGTACGATTGTCTTCAGGCACTCGAACGAAATTTACGGATGAATGAATCAACACAACGGATAAATAAGAAAAAAGGAAAGAAATCGAACGATACACCAAATAAATGCCGTGTCAGAAAATTCGCCGATGATCTTCGAGGGAAATCTTGACAGGTTCACGCCGGTCCAGGCCGATAGACAATTTTCTTAGATGCTGGGAGTCGCGCTGAGATGGCCGACGACGGCGACGACGGCGACGACGGCGACGACCACGACGACGACGGCGACGACGGCGACGACCACGACGACGACGACGACGACGACGACGACGACGACGACGACGACGACGACGACGACGACGACGAGTAGTAGAAGAACGACGACGGTGACGATGACGAAAAAGAGGATGAGATATAAGAGAAGGACGGTAGATATCGACGATGACGAGGTCGGCGTTGCGGCATCGTGTCCCAAAGTGAGCAGGGTTCGTTGAAGAATACGACCCACCTTGTGGCGTGTTTCGATCGACCGTCACGGCAGCACTGCACGATCAACTACCACTTCCACGAGATGATCACGATCTATGTTGAACGTAAACCAGACTTATAAATACGATGTTCAACCGAACATTGTAAAGAAGATTTACCGCTTTTAACTGTAGAGGAGTATTGCCAGTGGAGGAAGACGAGTTAAAATGCTCGAGGACAATGCCAAAAACGTGCCTAGCTCTCCCGACTAGTCTGCCCTCAGCTTCTCTACTGATGTGTTTTAAATGGGTGTACGCGCGTGCTCTCTCTCTCTCTCTCTTCCCCCTTCTTTCTCTTTCTCTCTACCCCTACGTATATAGCTCCATCTTTTTCTCTCTCTCTCTCCCTCTCTCTCTCTCTTTCTTTCTCTCCCGCTCTCTCCTTCTCTCTCTCTCTCTCTCTCTTTCGCTTTCCCTCGCCAGCTAGAAGCTTCCAGCCAGCTGATCGTTGCTGAAACTCGCGCAAGCGTCGCGACGCCTAGACATATACAGGGTGAGACATTTATTTGAGAAGCAAGGAAGATTTTTCCAAGAAGAGTCATTCTTAAAGTTCTTTTTTTAGATCGGTCTACTCCATCTTTTTTCTCGCGAGTATTTTGGTATTAAGGTGCCGATGTATTAATTGTTCATCATGTGCATATATATATATATATATGTATATATATATGTATATATATACACGCACGTAGCCGGCTCCTCGCCTGCTACACCGCCTCTCGACGACATTTCCCTCGATCGCTCGTCCTTTAATTCGTTCGACGTTAAAACGTTTATACTCTTCCAAGTAAAATAGACTCTGAATTTTTCAAATTTCTCAGCCGCTGTGAGAGAATTTGAAAATGCTTCAATATGGCTTATCAATATCTTATCACGAGTATGGTATGTTATATATCAGAGGTCACAGAGTTTGGCCGAGAGCGACCTTAAAGCGGCAGCGTCACGTCGCCGGATCTTGGAGACACCTTTTACCCTTGACCTTGTCGTCGATGCGCCAGCAAAATGCTCGACTGCCCTTATAACCGTTTTACTAACCGTAAGACTCGCTCGAAGAATCTTGAGAACTCATCGTCGTTCCCATCGAAAGCTCATCGTAGCTTTTCGTATCTCCTTATCTTTCTCTTTCTCTATTTCCACTGATCTTTTAATCTCGACGAATATTTCCTTTTTTCTTGGTGTAAAAATCAAATATAGAGAGTAAAATCTCGTTTGAATCAGTTCATATAAATATAATGAATATCTTTAATTATATTGTCGTTCTTTATCTATATCTTTTCTTGCTACTGTCGTCAGCAAGTAGTATTATAACTCTTGCATGGCTACTCTCGCTTGAAATAAGTTATACCAGAAGGACGCTTCGCTGAACGTGTCCTCGTTTTGGGGAAAACTCAAGTCGTAAACACGGGAGGGAGGGAGGGAGGAAGAGAAAAGAGGAATCGTGGTATGGTGTGGAGGTCTCGTCCGATACGCACAAACTGCCATTAATTTTCATGACGGACATGTACAGGCTAATGGCACTTTAATGACCAAGAATTCTATCGAGCATGGCTCATTGGCCGTTGATATTACGACGTACCTTATATACAAAACCCCCTCATCCTTAATTTCCAAAGAAACTTTATCATAGTTGATGTCTCAAAGATTTCTTTGCCTTTCATACACAACCAATATAGTTTATCCTCGAAACGATTCGACTTATCTTCTACTACTTACGATTTTAAAGCCAGATATGGGTAGATGAAAGAAAATTTGAAAATTTTCATGTAAAAATTCTCGCGGAGTTATTCTTTTCCGAGTGCTTGTAAACAGGCAGTAAAACGTTCAGGTAACGATACTTTTATGGAAATTTTCTTGGCCCTTCTGAGAGTGTATCTTTAACACGTACAGAGAGAGAGAGAATAACTTACAACGTAATGCCATTTCCCTCTCTGTTTCTCTCAAGAGACGCATGTTACGACGAAATTCTCTATCTCTATTCCTGTGGAGTGTATTAAAACCATTCCGCGATTTACAGGTTCGAAGGATTTACGCAAGCAAATTGGGTCGAAGCGCCGTGAAACGCTTTCCTTTCCTTCTCTCGTCTTTCTAAGATTGGTGTTACCTCGAAGGATAAAAAGGATTTACGCGGTTAGTCCTTCATAGCGTTTAAGTATGCTTTCAAAGTCTTCATTAAAAATATTAATGCATACGGTTAGAAATACGGCTAGAAATACGGCTAGATTGAATGCAGCTTTCTTTGCAAATAGATTTGGATTTGACATCGTCAATAATAGAATTGAAATAGGAATATTAGAAAAATATTCAGAAAATTTCAATCATCTTTTATATCCAGAATCATTGCCTCGGCTTAACTTCGTTAACGAGCGATATAAACGATCAGGCGCAAAACTTTTTTCTTTTATACTGCTCTTCTTATAAGGCGCTCCCATTTCGAAGTTCAAAGCTTTCTTTAAAACGAAGCTCGCTTCTTTAATACCTAAACTCGTAATGCCTGGTACTCTTTAATCAGAACCAAGAGAGAGATGGAGTTTAAACGACGGGCCGAGAGGTGAAAATTTTTCGTGTGTACATCGCTGTTTTCATAAATCATATTAAATCGTAAAAATAAATTTTCTCTAAAAGAAAAGAGAAGTGGCATTTTTGATCGTATCCGATGGAATTTCGACGAAGAGAAGGACACTCTTGAAATTGTTCAATTTTATTGGAAATATCTGTATAATTTATCGGATTTTCATACACGAAACGTTCGAGTTCGCCAGGTTGCTTAATCGAAAGCCTTGGCACTTTTCCCATTTTTAACACGTTCAAAAGTCGATAATAATTATATGCTCTCTCTCTCTCTCTCTCTCTCTCTTTCTCTTTCTTTTTCTCTTTGTAACATCGTTACGTTTTGAAAAAATCATGGAATATCGATTCACTCGATGAATATTGACGTAGACTCATCGACGTATTTAATCCAAACGATATTTTCCTACTAATCAAACGAACCTCTCTTTGGTAATTACCTTTGCTTCTATTTTGTAGCATCGCTACGTCGCTGTATACGTAGAAACGGCACACAGAGGATCGATTACCTTTCGAGCATTTGTCGAAAGGTAATTACTTTCGGCGACGTAATTCTCTATACCGGTAGAAATCGCACGAGCGTACCAACGACTACGTCAAACGTTCCTGGACATGTCGACTCGTTCGATTGTCCTTATGAATCAACGTTACAACGAGACCTTCAAAAGTAACGAAGAATAATGTTAGGAGCGATTTCAATGTAAATTTGTCTTTTATTTTGCTTAGCAATTTCCCTTCGTATAAAAAAGATAGAGCATCGTCGGTGAATCGGAGCGATCGACGAGAACGTCGATAGAGAGGGTGGATCATACTGAATACAAGGGAAACACGAACGCACGCCCGCGAAGTAATCAATGAAACTAGTCTGGGTCATTGGCATACCCGTTTAAATTATGCATCGTGCATAAACCGTACCGTCCATATTATACAGCCAAGCGATTTTCCATCGGTCCGAGCGCTATTCCTGAATCATTTAGAGAGTATTGAAATTGTAAAGCGATTGCGCCCGCGCAAGACGATAATTCATCGACGCACCGTGTCGGATCGCGTTGCGAGGCGTGGATCGAATCGTATTGCGAAGCAACGCAACCCTCTTGAAAAACATTTACTTCGTCATGCGGTTGTTACGGGATACAAGCTACCACACAACTCCCTCGTGCAATCGCATCTTCTTGAGATGGCTCGTCTCGCTGAGAAGGACACGTCATCGAGTACACCCTTTTCTCCCCGCTCTCGAGACGCTCGATACAGGGATGGTCCATGGTTCGTCGTCGTCGTCGTCGTCGTTGTCGTTGGGGAGAGAGAGGGCTGAAATGTGGATAAGAATGGGAGCGATACGAGAAGGGTGACGAGATTCTAAATCTCTGGGGGATGGCTCCAAAGAGAGTTTTCTCTCGTGGTGCGTTAATTCTACGATGCTTTATTAGTTTCGGTTTTCAATGAACGATATTAAGTTAATTCGTTCGTATAAGCGAAATCTTAACACAAACGAATCGAAATATATTCACTTCTTTAATATATTCACCATCGATTAATTTTACTCGGAACGTGTTGTTTGACGATAGAAAGAGATTAGATCGTATCTAATGGTCTGCACGTTAGTATTTAAGGGAACACATACATTTGGATCTTGCAAATAAATTGCAGGCATTAGCACGAAGCAATCGCACTTTGGCGACTTGAAATAAACCCGAAGAACCCTCGTTATCTCCGAGGCATTCGCTTACCGACGACAAAGAGTCGCGAGACGGCCGCGCACGAAAAGAGGGTGCCTGTTCACGGCCGTGCCAGGCCGGTGCTGGAAACGAGGGTGGAAACGACAAAACCAGAATAAAGTGGTAAACCTTTGCCGAGTGAGTTTTAATTCGGCTTTTATCCGTGACTCGTTATTCGAATATTTTCATAAATCAGAGCTTACACCCGTGAAATTATTATTTTTATCGTTTATAGTAGGGAATTAACTGAGAGAGAAAAAAAGATAACGGAAATAAACGGGACTCGGTTACAAAAGAATATATCTTTTCGAAAATTATTATTTGTCATTGGCACTTGACGATTCTATTCGTTTATCGCTTATCTTTTTAAACTTTTACTCGTTAACAATGAAACGACACGTGAAAAAATGGGATAGAGGGAGAGATAAGTAGATAGATAGATAGATAGATAGATAGACAGAGAGAGAGAGAGAGAGAGAGAGAGAGAGAGAGAAAAAGTATGGCGTACAATAGTAATAAAAATTGAGAAGGTAACTCGACATTTCCGGATTTGTTCGGGGTTCTTCAGTGAATAATGGGCATTTTTGTGATCTTGAGAGGCGTGGACCGCTTTTCTCGAATTCACACGAAAGTGAGAAAGGAAAAGAATGCTTCTGAGAATAGTTTTACTAATGTATCTCGATGATACTTTCGATCGACGCGTCGGATGGAATTGGAAAAAAATTTTATAAATAAAAAAAAAAAAAAAAAAAAAAAAAAAAAGAAGATTATTTAATTCTAATCCGTTCCATTGGAATAAATCTAAACGATATCGCTTCGTTTAAACGAGCGAAAAGCGTTCTCTTGCATTAGCAAATAAATGAAATCGTTCGTTTCCATCATCATCAGGAACTAAAATCCATTGTAAAGGAAGGAAGATATACATTGGAGAACTGCATTCGATGTATCCAAGATTTGTTAAAGGATCGTAGAAACTCAATAGGGGGTTCGACGAATCTCTGTTCGTTTGAGACATTCTCCAAGTCGAAAGCTCAACGAAAGGACGTGCTATAGCATGGCGACATAACGTTTCCAAATTAGCAGCCCTCAATAACATTTACGTCGTTGCGACGGTGAAAGCCAGTCAGAGCGACGTCTCTATTATCCTTTCGTGTCCTCGGATGAGCCATGCCATTAGTCTGGTCCTGCATCTACGGATAAACTGGTACGATCGATCCGTCGGAGATGAAACGAATTGATGAAAGCGTTTCCCTCTTTTAGTACTTACCTCCTCTTCTTCTTCATCTTCACCTTTAGGATCATCGTAGATTGCATTTTCTCTCTTTCTCTTTATCTTTCTTCGTCATAACGAGGTAACTTTTGTCATAACGAGAAAAACAAAAGAAGAGACAAGAGAGAAATCGTTACTTCCGTTCGTCATTCTCGTCGGATGCCTGAGAAGAAGATCCACAAATGTTCATATGCATGGATAGAGGGAGAGAGAGAGAGAGAGAGAGAGAGAGAGAGAGAGAGAGAGAGAGAGAGAGAGAGAGAGAGACAAAAAGAGGACTGATTCATCGTGTTACGAAGAACTTAACAATTGTCTAAAATGCTCGCAATTACGAGTTGGAAGGCGCTCTCGCGCGACAAACTTACAAGCACTCTAGACTTATCGAGGTTTAAACGCTTTCTTTCTCTCTCAGTCGTCCGAGAGTTTTCTCTTTGTTCGTCGATCTCTCTCTTTCTTTCTCTCTCTCTTTTCCATCATTCAGAGAAGATCGCGAATGATAAAGAAAAAAAAAAAAGAAACTAAATGCAATTGCTGAAAATTGTTTTGCGATTAGTGAGATTTTTATTTGTACGTTATCAGTGCTATTCTTCCTACAAATTCTGACAAAATATTTTCCACCGACTTTTTAATGAGTTTTAAACGATTTATGCTTACGTATAATTCGTACAATAAAAATAATTAAACGATCGCCTATCTAAAAATCAAAGCCAACGCGAAAGCTTATCAATTACGAGCATGCTCTTGGTTCGAAGGAACGGCATACGCCTAGAAATTCCTCGACACCCTTCGCATATACATAATCTTACGATCTGAAACGTCGTGCGATAAAATCGTGTTTCCTTCGATAGAGGGGTTGAGAAAGAGAGAAGGGAAAGGGCTCGCTTAAGGTTCAGCCAGCACGGAAGAAACGTCGATATCTCGCGAAGATAAGGAAACAAGGAAGGATATTAAGCCGCGAACCGGCACGATTCAATCTCGATCGTTGGAGAAACGAACTTAATCGAGCTCGGGGCACGTTGACATTGTTACCGCTGTTGCCTTTGCTATTGCTACTATTTCTGCTGTTACTCTCTTGCTGAATTGCGTTATAAATTTCATATCGGCAGATATAAAAGCCTGGCAGGATCGATCGGAAGCCGCGTGAATTTCGTTTCTAGTTGGAGTATTGGATTTGTTGCAGGCTGCCGTACGCTCTCCGGTTATATGTCCTCGTCTACTACGTCATCGATCGATTTAATGCGTTTCCGTCCGGAATTATTTCGGGAATATCAAACGCAACGGCGGTCGTCCGGGATACAAGATACGAATAAAATACACCGTCTATAGGTACGTCCAACTTCGAAGAGGGAAAGGAGGTGGCTTTGAAAGAAGAAAAGAAGCCTCGAAAAGGAATCGTTAACGACGCTAGTCGAGAAAGTATGGGAAGGCTTCGAGTCGATCTTCTTTTCCGACTTTAATAATTTTTCCATTAATTACACCCTTCGATCTCGCCGTGAAACTCGTCAGATATTCATGACTCGCTATTTTCCATAGAGGGGGAGAGAGAGAGAGGGAGAGAAAGGACGTTAATTAGCCGACTATCGAAGACTAATTCGTGAGGCAAGTGAGAATATTGTAGAAAGAAAATATAGGAAAGAATACGTTGCTCGATGGCTGTGTTTTATATTTGAAAAGGGAAGAAAAAGAAAAATTTTGAGATAGATGGTTAAGAGGTAATACCTTAATTAAGCGTTGATCGAGTATGAATTTGTTAAGACATTTTCAATCTTACACGAGACATTGTCAAGATTCTTGAAAAAAGAAATCGATATATCGATTCTCGCACGATTAGCTCGACGTTAAACCAATTAATTAGCCATCGACCGAAGCCATATTCCCAAATCTCTCGAGGAAAAAAAGCAAAAGGATAGGAACGTAGTGAGTACCTACGTGACTACATACGAATGGAAAAAGAAAAAAAAAGGTTAAATTTCTCCTGGAAAAATTGCAGTAAGAGATGCACTGAGAGAGAGATGCACTAGAGCAGATTTCGCTCGCTCTCATAGAAGAAGAAGAAGAAGAAGAAGAAGAAGAAGAAGAAGAAGAAGGCAAACGCTTGCGAGTCGACGCAACCCCCTGTGCGTTTTCTACCCTTCAAGCGGAGCACCATCTATCCGAGTACACAGTAGTAGTGTAGTAGTAGTAGTAGTAGTAGTAGTGTAGTAATAGTAGTAGTAGTAGTAGTAATAGTGGTAGAGTACAAGGATGAGAAGGAGCTAAAGGGAGAAGAATGGTTCGTGATAGTAGCTGACTAGAAATGCGCAAGCGCGTGCCTCTAACTCTGTGCGCGAGCGCATTGGCGGCTCGGCTCGGCTCGGCTCGGCGTCGACGTCGACGTCGTTTTGCGAGAAAATTGATTCTGCGCGAAAGAGGAATACCCAGAGAGCGAGAGAGAGAGAGAGAGCGAGAGAGAGAGAAAGAGAGAGAGAGAGAAAGATAAAGCAAGAGGGAGAACGAGCCACCAACGAGCCGGGGGTCTTCGCACGCTGACACAGAGACAAACTCGGAGCACGAAAGGACGACACTCTTTCGAGGACGATCGACGATCTCACATCGACATATTCTCCCTCTTTTCCTTCGTTCAAGAAAATCCTCCGAAAGATCTTTCTATATATATCCTCCCTCCCACTCCTTCTCTCTCTCTCCCTCAAACATAATCTCTTCCTCTCTCTCTTTCTCTCTCTCTCTCTCTCTCTCTCTCTCTCTCTCTCTCTCTCTCTCTCTTAACCAATCACATTCAAGTGACTCGATCGCTATTATGTAAGGGGATGTTACCCTATCGTCCACCAACGTCGTGTGTTTTCGAGTTCGACGATAATCAAAATCACCAAGAGAGACTATCTTCTTTTTCGTCCGAGTGTCAAGAAGATTGAGAATAAGGAAGTTGAGAGGATCTCGAGTCTCTCACTCTCTCTCTCTCTCTCGCAAACACTCACTTCTCCTCTCGCAACGATATGCGAAGAGACACGGTGGACGCGAGACGAGAGCAACGACGACGATCGAGCAGATACCGGGAATAAGAGAAGTGGACGTGAATGCGGTCTGTGCGACTCTGCCGAGGATACTCCTCCTTCGATGGATCGAAAAATTCTCATCCTCGCTCATATCTTGGGTGAGTGCGAATTATTCTATTTCTTTTATACTTTTTCTTTTTATCGTTAAATTCTTTTTCTTCCCGATCTTCGATTTTTGTTGCTCTCTCAGCATCCCTCTGTCCCACTTTTCTCTCTCTCTCTCTCTCTCTCTCTCTTTCTTCCCTTGTTTTCTCCCTCCGGGCCATTGCCCCTGTATCCTGTATGGATTAGCCGAGTTCCTTGCACTCGTTTCGTTCCTTGCTTCGAATTTAAACACATTGATATAAAAGCTTTTCATTCTCTGTCTTTTCCTTTTGTCTCTTCTTTCTTTCGTGCGTCTTATTTTCTGCTTGTATCTCTTTCTCTCCCTCCTCTCGCAGTTGGCAAGGATTTTCTTGAATTTATCTTCTCTCTTGGAGGATGCTCTTGCGAACGGGATGAGCCAAAGAAAGGAGGTGAACGATCCTTTTATTAGCATTCGCGAGGATCGTGCCAAGATTCGCGAGAAACGAGTTCGCCTTTCGACGAGATCGATCATGCCAAATCTTATTCCTTGCATTTATTCGTTGATTCGTTCGTTATAAACTTTATTATATATTTTATTTCTTTATTTTTTTTTCTCTCGTTATCTATGCAAGGAGGATTTGAAAAAAGGGAAGCAAGCATAGAACGTGCGATCGGAGAAAGATGAATTCTAGGGCCGTTCCACGTGGCGCTCATTAAGTCCTTCTTACACGACGAAGAAGATGTGAAGATAGTATCTCTGATGATAACAGAAACCATTAGCCATCGTTTCTCTAATTAAATAGCGTTTTTGACGTACACTTTACATCTACGAAACTTTATCTTTCTTTTTAAAATCGATAAACGGGTTTATCCGTGTAGCGTATCGATCATAATTTTAATTAATAAATTCATTATTTTCAAAGGCCGATCTGTTTTTTATCGTAATTACGTAATCCTCGTGGATGCTACGATTTTGTTCTCTCGTTTTCCAACGCACACATATGTAATAGTTAGAAACGTGTAGACCTCCCTTTCCGATAAGAGAAACCGAATAGAACAATCGTTATCGTTGCGTTAAAATTACCAGCGACGCGGAAGATCCTTGGCGCCTTTGAGTTACATTCCCTGCATCCGGAGGGATTCGAACCGGACGTTCTTAAATTTTCGATACTGGCTCATTGTTCGATTCGTCGTTTCTGATCGTAACATTTTCTTTTACGTTTTTCTTTTTTTATTTTCTTTTTTTTCTTTTTTTTTTTTTTTTTTTTTTTTTTTTCATAAATATTCATCAGCCATCTCTTAATTTCGAAACGTTCCTCCTTTAGAACGGGATAAAAGGAAATATCCGCCAACAAAGACGTCGAACTCGATCACGGATATCGGTTATCTATCTGTCTCTATTCTTTTTCCATCTCTTGTGTATTTCATCGACCGAACTCGAGAACGTTGCTACGATAGAAGGATTCCCGGCTTTGGTTTTAAGACGGACAAACAGAGCTTTCGGCTCGGCTTACAGACCGCGGGGATTTATTTTCTAGACGGTCTTTCTGTAAGCGTACTTTCTTCAAACAAAAAAGGAAAAATCAAGAGAGAGAGAGAGAGAGAGAGGAGAGAGAGAGAGTGAGTATCATAGGGATAAAAGAAATAAAAAGAAGATGGTAGCTTTGATCGTATCGTCGATAACACGAGCTTTTTTTTAACAAAAACTTAATATACTCGGCCTTAACGTCTTTTTTCATTCTAGACATGATTGCCAAGAGCATCTTCTTTTTTTTTTACATTTCGTGCACATACTTCTGGATAATACGAACGTCGAATACAAATGGAAAAGAGAATGCAAAGAGAATAAAAAGAGGGGTTTTTATAACGTCTCAGTGGTTTCTTTCTCTTTGAAAAGATCTAATCTCTCGTATGATACGCAAACAGCACGACGTTGTCTCTCGTTTCGATTCGAGCGTTCTAATAAATTGTATCGAATAAGAGGGAAATTTTATCGTCGAGCAGACGTCATTTTCTTTTACTCTGACCCTCCATTCCCTTCTTGTAATATGCTTTTATTTTCTTAATTGGAGAAAAAGCAACGTACTTGCTCCTTCCTACGCGAGTATAAAATACGAGTATCGTGCGTCATTGAACTGTCAATTCCGTTGCAACGATCCCACGAGGTTTGTACATAAAAAGGATTATCGTTGCATTAATCATTTTAAATATCGCTCGTCATTAATCGACTTACATGTTAAGAGGAAAAATGCACGGCGAAATACGATTGATCATAGATATCGCTATTCCAACGGAGACGTTAAAGCGTTGAATCGAAACGGGTGTACCCTGTACTCGTATTTCAGAACGAATTGAATTTCTCCCCACCCTCTCTCTCTATTTTTTTCACCTTATTCTCCGGACGAGTAGCACCTTTGCACTCTCGTTCCACAGATGAAAAATGCACGCAGTAGCACAGGTGTTAAGGATCGAAACACGCGAGCTTACTCGTGAGAAACACGACACAGGCTGCAAATACTCGAAGCTTTTCGTTTGGGCTTGCGTTAATGTTCATCCCTGTTCTTTTTTTTTTCTTTTTCCTTTGCTTTTTTTTTTTCCCCTTCAAACCACGTCGATGCCTTCGTGTCATTTTTCATTCTGTTGCGCGGTGTTCGCCCCGTCTGGATTCGTCCGTTTATTTTTTCATTCTCTTTTCTTTTTTTGTCCTATCCGCAAGAACGTCTTGAATAGACCGTCGCTTTAAAACTCGAGTCGCCTTTTTATAACGAGAACGTAGTGTAATTCTCCGTGGCAAGCGACCCGATTTATTCCAAAGACCATTCTCCTTTTCGTGCGAGAACGATTTCTTCGTCTTCGTTCTCAAGGACGAGCAAAAATTTTTTCGCCGTTGCGGCCCGAAGAATATCAAAAGAAATCTTATTCATGATCGGCGTTAAAATTCCAACGATGACTGCGACCACATACCAAGCACTTTCCACCTTCGAAAGAGTCTATGTGTCTGTGCGATCTGACGTAAGACGTTAATAGACTTTTTAATGCGCAATAGAAATATTCTGATGTTGTATGAGTTTCAAGGTCTCAAAATAAAAAGAACACAGAATAGGCATAGAGCCGGACTTTAAAAGGAAATACCGAGGAGGCGAGGTAATTTATGAAATCCTTGAGATAATCGCAGCGCGCTTTAACGACACCGATCGCGAGCGTGCGAACTTGCCTCCGTGGCAAGTGCTTGGAAACGCGATCGAGTCGCATCGCGTTAATCGCTTCTCTTCTCCCCGCTCCGACACTTAATCGCGTTGATCTAATTACGCGAGAGATTCCATTCGTCGAAACGCGCCGAGTTCAAATTTTAACGACTCCTCACTTATCCCACTTCCCTTCCCATCTTTGGCCCGGTTTCATTGATACAGCAAAGTCAAAGTTCACATTTATCCGCTATATACTTGACGCTATCGGGTTCAATTCCGTAAACAAATTTGTACTACAGAAAAATAATACAAATCAATAATTAACGATGAAGTCAAGCCAATTATAAGAAAAATATTGATATTCTTTCTCATTATCGTCAGGAATCTGTTCTGGTCTGCGAGAGGTCCGTGTCCAGATACCGACGGCCGTAAGGAAAGGAGACACAGCCTTGCTGAATTGTTGGTATGATATAGAACAAGACCCGTTGTATGCAGTCAAGTGGTACAAAGGGGGTCGAGAGTTTTATCGTTACGCTCCGAACGAGAACCCAGTCGTCAAGACATTTCCCAATGGAAACTTGACGGTAAAGGTGAGTTTGCAACGCAGCCTATGCTTTTCTAGTTAGCCTATATCTCTCCCATTTACTTTGCACCGAATCGACTTACCGACACCTTTTTATCTCTCACTCTCGCGTAATCTCGAGAAACAGCTCTTTTTCGCGAAAGTAGAAAAACAAAAAAAAAGGAAAGAAAGGAAAAAGCAGGTATATCCCGAAGGAGCAAACCTCCTGGAGGATTTATCGTCCTAAAAAGAGAGAGAGAGAGAGAGAGAAGTTGGATGAAAAACAATAATCGAACCCAGTAAAATATGGCATCAAGATATTTCGCGAACAAGTTTTCGAATTGGAGAGAGCAACTGTTCTCCTCTTGGGTCCTTCTCTTCTCGTAAGACCTTGAAAGGAAAAGGTATGGCCCTTAGGAGAATCGTAGCTTGGTCTACAAGGGTAGTTTTACACGACACGGTCCAATGATTTAGCGAGCTTTTGATTTACGCGATATCTCGATTGTATATATACGTGTACGCGTATGTGCCTATGTAATTCTTTTTTTTTTTTCTTTTTTTTTTTTTTTTGTCGACGAAGGATACGATTAATTTTGTTCGCTCTCTTTTTTCTATTTTTCTTTCTTTTTCTTTTGTTTCAATTTCTATCTCGTCCTTCTCTCTCCAGGGAAAAAGTCTACAATTTTTATTTAACTGTATCGTTCCCGTAACACAGTCTCTCGAATTTGGTCATAAATTGAACCGTAGCTCGACGAGTCTGTTTAATGTAAAAATACATTGTTATAATACCTTTTGTCTATTTTCTATTTCTCATTTATTATAAATCAACGTTCATAACGATCTCGATGGAACTATGCATAGTTTGTAATGCTTTACATCATGGGCCAGCCTGCACATACATATACATATGTATATACTGTCGTCGTCCTTTTCCTCGACGATACTCGAAGAGTTTTCCTTGTTGAAGTCTAATGGATGTTGTAAATTAATTGCTCGAGCGATCGGGGCCACTTTGCGCTACACTTAAAAGTGAGCTTTCTGTCGTCGTTGGCACGTTCCTCCTTACAATTTTCTTTCAATAGTGAATCTTGTATAGGGAAAAAGGGAAAAAAGAAAAAAGAAGAAAGGAAAAAAAAGAAAAGGAAACTCGACATAGCTATGTATGTAAGATCGCTCTGAGAACGAGTTCATTGACAGAAAAATATCTTATCTTAGGGCGAAATGTATTATAAAATTATTCTCGACACTTTCCCGATGAAGCTTTTCCCCGAACGACGAGAGTTGATTATTATTCCTTTATTTATTTTTTTTTTCTTCTTCTTTTTTTCTTATTCTTCTGTCGTTTCCAACCCTTCTCGCAACCTCTCTCACCGCAAGCTTCGTTTAATACCACGGTACCGCGACTCTAAGGGAAACCTTTTCCACGAAACGTTTCACGAGGCAATACGCTTCTTCTCTTGCTTCTTCTTTTTTCTTTTTCTACTTTTCTCACGAACAGGAATAACAATATCTGCGATAAAATTACGCGAGAGATATTTTTGTCGCGAATTCTTCTTCTCTTTTGCTTTTGTTTTATTTTAGTTTTCTTCTCATTTCCTTTTCTTTTTGTGTTATCACTCTATTCGGTGACGAAAGGAGATCGATTTCATTTTTATCCGCTGTAACTCTCGTAACCTTAGAGAGGAGAGACTTTTTTGTAATCGCTTTTGTCGAGCGAAAGCAAAATATTAAGTTACATTCGCAAAGGAAAAAACATCCCTTTGAGTCATTAAATAATTCACGTCATTGTTTCGAACAGATTTGAACGCGTGTTCTACAAAAAATGGCCATTCTTACTGAAAGAGAATATTTGCAGAGGACGATCATTTTTCGAGACGATTATAGGGAATATTTTGTAAACCTATGCGCGCACATATCGAAGCTCGAGAACAATTGAGCCGAAATTGTTGGCGCGTTATCGAGCTGATAACAAAAGATCTATCTAACTACCTGCCCAAATAACTGATAACTTTGATCGCGTGCATTTAATCTACTCCTTTTTCTTCGCCCTTCTCTCTCCCTCTCTCTCGCGCGCGCATTCTCTTTTTCTCTCTTTTCTACACGGAGAAATTCTCGAAAGCACTCGATTGAATTTTATCGAGCTTGCGAAAAACAAAAGGACTCTTGTGTAACGTTTAAATCAGAATGTTTCGATGCCATCCTCTCTTTCAACCTTGGCTCCTCCGTGTTGCACGTAACGCATCCCATAAACGATATCGTCTACGACGAATAAACATAAAACGTTGCATCTAGAAGACGCCGTTTCCTACGTCGGTCGATAATATTCGCAATAGAAAGAAAGACAAGAGAAGGAAGCCCGTATGATCCAGTTCTTTCTCTCTCTCTCTCTCTCTCTCTCTCTCTCTCTCTCTCTCTCTCTGCTTCGAGTCTGACGGCGGTCGGCTCGGGATCGATGCAATCACTGGAGAATATTATTAAACGTAAAAGCCAGATTAAATTTATATGGATATTATATTGTTTGTCGAACACGCGAATTAGAAAGGATCAGAATTCTATGCTTGCAATTTTTAATAATCTATTTCGACATTGATTGTATTTCGATTACGAAATGATCGTTTCTGGACTACCGAGTTTGTTGATTTTTTATTTCAGAAAAAAAATTACTCGCAAAGGGAATAGGAAAGCTCGTGCGAAAACGTTTAGTCGTGGCAAGCGTTTTGTGGTATATCTGAGCGTCGTTAAAAATTCTTTCGATGTTTTCTCAATGATCGTGAAAGATTTTCCACTTTGACAAGAGGTTTAAGGGCGCCAAGGGAGCACTCGTTGCTAAAGCACCTGTCCGAAAGTTGTTAGGAAAATATTTTATGCAGATTACTGTCGTACTTTCAACTTCATCGGCAGATATGTCTTTCTCTCTCTCTCTCTCTTTCACATATACACTCTACTGCTGTCTAATCGTTCCCTCTTTAAAGTTACGTTTTAAGCAAAGAAAATCGATGAAAACGCTATTTAATATTCCCCGTACTTTCGTACTAGCGTTTTCACCCCGAGCTTCCCTCCAGCTAGGCCACAATCTCTTGACTTTAATGACACGCTCGTGCTTCGGAAGCGCTTGAAAAAATAAGCTCCGAGCAGAGTCTGGGACTTTTCGTACAAAAGCTCGTGTTCAATGGCTCGTATGTGCGTGTGTCTGTATGTGTAAGAAAATGAAAAAAAGGAGAGAGAGAGAGAGAGAGGGAGAGAAAGTCTTCCTAGAGATATCCGTGCGAGATAAATTAATGAGCAGACTAAGGTAGAAGGTAATTAATGTAACGACCACGAAAAGAAAGAGAAATAGAAAGAAAAGTTGAAAAGAGAAGTAGATCGGTAGATCGAACTCTCAAAAGGGCGAGATTGAACTTTAAGAGATGATTTCAAAGGTTCGTATTAATTTAATTCGACGATGAAAGAAGTACGAGAAGAGGGAGGGAGGAAAGGGTTGAAACGAGCGCCATTAGAAAGGCCGTTTAAAGTTCTCCAAGTAATAAAGGGGCTGGTCGTACGCGTTAAAGCGTGTAATTGACGTAGATAAATGTGTCGTCTGCAGAGATAAACGTTTCTTTTTCTTTTTGAATTTCCCACCTTTAGAGAAATCAGAGAGAGAGGGAGAGAGAGAGAGAGAGAGGGTGTAATTAGGAGAGGGGGGGGTGCGTATAGTCTGAATTACTCTTTTATTTTTCTAAAGTGCCATCGAAATTCTGTTTTCCTTTATTTCGTAGAAATCGGAGAGCAACGCGACGCAAGTAGCATTGACCAATCTCGAGCTGGATGCTGCAGGCTTGTACAGCTGCGAGGTATCCGCGGATGCACCTTCCTTCCACACGGCCATGATTTCGGCCACCATGAACGTCGTCGGTAAGCATAAATATTCAAAGTTTCTCTTAATCCCCAACTGCAAATCCCGGTAACTTTCGATCCCCGTTTAAACGAGCCAACAAACCTCGTACAATTTGACTAGAGCTTAATGTTTGGCGTTACTCTTAATAAAGAAAAAGGAATACGAATAGAAGAGATAGAGAGAGAAGAGATGCTCCGGTGCATCCAATATCGTTTATAGGTGTTTCGAAATATCGATGCGGACGCATCGATGCGTCGAGTAATAAGGGAAAAATCTTTTCTACTTATTCCTATATCGTGCGCTCTCGCTTCAGTTTCGAAAAAGTTAAATCGCACGGGAGTGGGTTGCGTGTAAGAGAAAGAGAGAAATGGATGGATGGATGGATGGATGGATGGATGGATGGGTGGATGGATGGATGGATGGATAGATGGTATGTAGGGGTGGCTCGAGTCTCAAGACTTTGGCTAACGTCAAAGCTACGTTTCAAACGTGCTTCGCATACTTGCCATACATACGTACATACATGTAGACGTTGGTTCGTTTGCTTTGTAGAATTACCCTCTCAAAGGCCTTCGATACACGGACTAAGGAGGAAATACCGGATCGACGATAGACTTCGTTTGAACTGCACATCCGGACGTAGCAAGCCGGCGGCCAATCTTACCTGGTACATCAACGATCGACAGGTATGCGGTAGTCAATGTCGGTCTTCGATCTTCGTGCGACATTGTTCTCTCGCGACCTGGATAACACTTATATCGACGATATCTATTTCGGTTTGAAATTTTTCTATATTCCCCGCGAATATACACGTATTCTCTATCGTAGATATCAAGTAGTAGATATCAAGTTTGATTGGAGTATCAAAAAGCATATAAACGTGATTTAAAGCTCTTTCACGATCCAACAAAGTTGAGTGGGGAAAGAGATTGGTTAGCAATGCATGAGAAAATAGGAAAAGCTTAAATTCTCGACTAGATATCGCGAACGTTCGTTACTACTAGGCTACTTTCTTTACGATAGGGCGTAATACGCGAGAGCGTAGTCCTCTCGTAAGCTTTAAAGATAGAATGGTCCCGTGTGTATAACGCGTGTTTATCAATGCGATGCTCTTCTTCGTTCATACATTTATCTTCGAGTAAAAAGAAATATTGTTCTTTCTCTCTCTCTCTCTCTCTCTCTCTCTCTCTCGTTGCAGCCGATTCCATCCCACGTGAAAACGTACAGTCCGTTGGACACGAACGAGTCCGAATGGCAGGTGTCCCAGATCGGCCTTCAATTTCTCGTGACGCACGACCACTTCGTGAACGGCAAGCTGAAAATACGTTGCAGCGCCTCGATATACGACATTTATTGGCAGAGCACGGAAGTGAGCGCCGAGGAGGATCGCCCAAGGGTTATACACTATGAACCTGCGGCGACTATAGTTGGTATCAACTATCTTCAGCCACCTCCGAATTTTCAAACCGGCCAGAGGAAGCCCGATGGTCAAGTTGGCGTGAAAGGTGACTTTTACTCTTTGTTGTTATACCTTTCTGCGGTTCGAAGAAAGTACGTATCACGTTGCATTAACGAACGATATACTTTAAGGTACGAACTTTTAAATCCTCCTTCTCGATCCTTAAAACATTAAAACGACGTTAAGTGTCCACTTTGACGTTTTTAAAACGACTTTTGAAAATAAATTCACACGTATAAATGGTCGCGCTCTTGAAAGTTTATATTAAAACTTAATAAAACCGAGATACACGATATTTTCATAAATTCATTTAGATATCGCACTTTTTTGTATTGCAGTACTCGGCTCGTCGGCGATGGCACTGGGATCCTCGTCGAGTCTCCGAATACTTTTGGAATTGTTCGTGTTTCTCCTAATTGCCATTCGTTAACCGTATGATATTAAGCGCGCGCTTTGGAGCTCTTTATATATAAAGAAAAAGAAAAGACAAAAAAAAAGAAAGAAAGAAAGAAAGAAAGAAAGAAAAAAATAAAATATTCGACGTGCTTGTAAAGAGAAACGAGGATTGTGCTTAGCGGCAACCATAATTCGCGACTTCTCTCCTGTCGTGAGAGAGTGGGGCAGGTGCAAAAGATTCGGGCGCACATAACGAAATCTCTGGACACGTCGGAAAGGCCTAAAAAAAAAAAAAATAGAAGAAGGGATTTGTGAAAATGAAAATTATGAAATCGCCGTCCTCGGCAAAGACGTAGAAAAAGAGATATCTTCTGAAATTGATTGATTCGATCGACGAACGTCCGAAGATGGTGCTGCGGCTTTTTTTGGTTCGTCGAATTCTCGAAACGAGAAGACAACTGAAAGAGCAAAGAGGAAAAAGTATATAGAAAGGAAAAAGAGATAAAAGAGAAAAAAAAAAAAGAAAAAAAAAGGAAAAAGAAAAAAAGAAAGAAAAAGACATAATGAAACAATGTATTTTATTAGACTCCGTACTTGCTTCCTTTCGGTGAGATCCAAAAACGTATGTCTCCGCGAATACGTAGGTGTAGTTTTGCGTGATCGTTAACGCCGCGGTCGTATGTGAAATCGATATAGTTTTTTTTCGTACTTTTATAAAACTACAAAAAGAGGGACTATAACTTATTAAAATTAGCGTGGCTCTATGCATACGTATACATATACATGTATCGGTACGTATATGTGTGTGTGTATATAGCTATGTACGTATACAACATATATTATATACATATAACGACACACAACGTTCACACTCGAGCATTCACGTATACAATGTACTCTTTCTCCGTACGATTATCTCGATGGTATGCGAAAGGGAAGAAGTGGCAAAAATAAATAAAAAAGAAAAAAAAAGAGAAACAAGTATGAAAGAAGAGGCACGTAATTAATCGATTAACACCGTGTGCGACGTAAGATTGTACCTGAAGCGGATGTTCGACGGAAATATTTTTGTGTTTTCTGTGACGAATTTAGCGAACTAAGTATTCTCTTAAAAAACGCTTGTCGATATGATAAAGATTACGAACAACGTCGATGAAGAACCAAGAGAGAGAGAGAGAGAGAGAGAGAGAGAGAGAGAGAGAGAGAGGGAAACCAAGGAGGAGAGGAAAAAGAGGAGCAAGTTCAAACTGGCTTTTCGTACATTCCGCACGACACGGACGCTTCGACGTTTGATAAACTCTTCCTTTCATTCCGAACGAAGCAACTTTCGCGTTTCGTTTCAATTTCAAACGTCCTCACGTACTCGTACGTATACGATTATTATTATTAGCATTAATATATTATTATTGTCATTATCGTTGAGTTACGATAGAAATGAACGTTATTTCGCGTTCGGTTCGCGTCCTTTAAATTAGCCGGCATTGTCGCCCGATTCGATTCCTCTGCATTCTCAGATTGAAATATTCTAACTTTAACAATGGCGATTCAGTAACGATGTTACGATGTTAACGTATTATCAAACTATTTTTAATTATTATTATTATATAGGCGTTCACGCGTTAAAGGAACGAAAATATAATATAATGAGGGGAAGGAGAAGAGATGAAGGATCGACGACCGCTTTCGAGGTTCGACGACGAGTAAAAGCCGAGGACGAGAGAAGATCGTTTAAATTTTTCGAGAAAGAGAGAAAACGTTTCGTGCCGGCTTTGTTTCTAGCATACGCATATATTTTTTTCAACGACGAAGATTGCAGCGAGATTAGCAGGGAAAAGCGACGGAACGAAGGCAAAAGATGAAAAATTGACGAAGCGGAAAGGCAAAAATAATGAAGAAAATGAAAGAGAAGCTACACGTGTGCCGATCGCGTACACACCACACATACGTTTAAAGACAAACTGAATAAAAATGATTAACGTGATTAATAAGGTGATTGCAACGACTGAATATAATTAATATAATAATCTTCAAAGTGTGATCGTTTTTTCATTCTTCTCTTCCGAACGAAAACACCTCAGGGGTTTTTCATCATGTTCTTCCTTTTTCATCCTTGACATTGTTTTTTTATAATAATTTTTTATATCCCGTTGTATGTATTTATGATCCTGCATCCTAAAGGATTCAATTGGAGTCGATAGTATAAAGGAAAGAAGAATCAACGCCACCTAAATGGACGAAGATAATTTCGGAGATTTGGTCCAGTCGGCTCGTTGGAGTCTGCGTTGCGTTAAACGCTGTTTGCAATATCGATTGATGATGAGAGAGCGCGCGCGCGCTCATCCGCGTTCGTTTGTTGCTTGGAGACGAGAAAAACGAGGATAGCAGGGTGGGAGAGAGAGAGAGAGAGAGAGAGGGAGAGAGAGAGAGAGAGAGAGAAGAACAAATACATATAGACGAAAATTCGTAGCTCCTTCCAGTAGCCATCCGTTTCGCGTTGAACCTAACCAATAAGATTTTCCTTCGATCTTGTTAAGTAAGCTCCGTAAACTCTAATCTCTTTCTCTCTCGCGCACATGCACGCGCGCTTTTTAAGATCCTCATGTCTATCTTGGTATCTCCGTTGCGTCTTCCTTGCGCAGTTTCGTATCGAAAAGTTTGCTCTTACGTAAAGATTACGTTTTCCTCCGCAAATTTCCAGTACGAATCGGTGAGGACCGACCAAAATTCCTGACGCAACTCATCACCTCGCTATAGATTAATTGGCAGCGATTCAATTCTTTCGTCGTAGCGCAAGGCCTCGACGAGAAGAGAGAGAGAGAGAGTTACGCGCTATCGAATCTTTCCTCTGATATTAATAACTTATGTTCTTTCTTCTTTTATCATTCTTTTCTTTTGTTTTTTTTTTTTTTTTTTTTTTTTTTCCTATCCAACAACTACTAGGAAAAACAAACGGCAAGTCGAGGAGCGATTGATTTTTTCCAAGATTAATTATACGTTCTTTCCTTTTCTTTTCCGATATCAATAATTCGTCGCTCCTTAATTATTTCCAAGTCGTTATACGTGATCGAATAATATAAGGAAAGATACGTCGAAAGGTAAGAAGAAAGAAACTCGAAGGTACAGTCGCGTTCGAATCGATATATCGTAGGAAGAACCGCGCTGGTATCGTGAGAAATACATTTCGTGAAGCTGAGCATGTTCTCACGGTCCAGCGAGGGGCAAACGGTTGAGAGGAGTCTTTCTTTTCGATTCGACCCTTCTCATAACTATTTATTCTTACGGATACGCGGTCGTTTCGCCAATCGCCAAACGCGATTACGTGAAAAGCAAATTCTCTCGTATCTATCAGGAAGAATCGAATTATCGAGAGGATGTTCACAAAAAGGGAGTGAATAGAATACGTTTTTCTTCTTATTCTTTCGTCCTCGAGAGGAAGAAGGACGGGAGAAGAGAGAGAGACAAAGAGAGACAGAGAGAGAGAGAGAGAGAGAGAGAGAGAGAGAGAGAGAGAGAGAGAGAGAGAGAGAGAGAAGAGAGAGAGAGAAAAAGAGAGAAAGAGAGAGAGAGAGGGAGCTTGCCCGATTCACCATGGAGATGACTTTAACGAACAGTAAGTGCGAATGAAGTCTCACCGAGCATTATTTCTTTCCTATAAATTCTATGTCATTAGATTTGTAAATAAATCAATCGACGATGTTTCTTTGGCATCGACGAAAGGGAACGGTTTTGCGCAGCAATAGTACTTGGCATGTACCCCTAAACTATGGCTTCCATTTTCGAGCCACGGTATTCTTACGCGATGGATAAATAGAGAATCGAAAATGCCTCGACTTTACCGACTGGTGGAAGAAGTTTCGAGCAATGTTACAAAATTTCTCCGCTAGGTCGCAGTACGAGTCGAAAATTTATAAATTTTCTTTATTCCTACTCTAGATCCTTTTCGTATTCGATCGTTATTAGATTAGTTTTGTTCGAAATAGCGCGTTCGATATGATTTAATTTGGAGATTCTTAACGTTGATCGTTGGCTTGGCAAATGTCAAGGCACGTTATCGTTCTTCTCGAAAGTGTCGATATACGGTGTATGCACGCTTATCGATCGTGATCGACAAATAATAATTCCCTCGAATATGAGACAGCGACGATGGAATCGCGTTACAATTAAGATGGTTATCATCGTTGTAAAACGTACGAAGCATGGCCCGAGACGGAATCGATAAATGTCGTTTAGGTGCTGCATAGTTATCTACGTAAACGGCGATTTGAATATTTTACAATAATGCCTTCTCTTCGTTAAAATCATAATAATATAAAAGTAGATGGTACGTAACGTTATTTCTCGCAGAGCCGTCACGAACAACAACGGATCGATCTCTAAACTCGTAAAGATGATGATGATGATGATCGTAAGAATAAGATAAATACGCGTAGCAAGTACTCGTTGCGTCGACGATTCCAATCTCAAACGTTCTAATTTTCGACCAGCTAACTTTGGCTATGAGCCATATGGTACGTCAAACGTACACAGTTTGACGGTTCCGACGTTGTTGTTGCAACGAAAAGCATTAATAAAGGAAAGATAGATTTTTATCGGTCTTCGAAGAAAACCCAACGAGGAGAACGTAGAGAGAGAGAGAGAGAGAGAGAGAGAGAGAGAGAGAGAGAGAGAGAGAGAGAGAGAGAGAGAGAAAACGATAATCCACACGATCCAAAAAGATATCGAAGCTTTACGAATAAATTTTTGTTTCAATTCTCGTTGAAGAAAAAAAAGAAAAGAAAGAAAAAATTAATGATCTCTGAGAAAGCTAACGATACGCGCGTATAAAGTCATAAGCGATCTCCGAACTAACCTCAAAGTTCATGCGAATTCGCGCATCGAAAGGATATTTTCTTATATCGTTCGTTCGAAATGATATTATCGATGTACTTTTAGAATCGAAAGAGGTAAAATGTCATTACCAAAGTGTATGGAGCGCGTCGTTTGAAAAATGCATGCGTGCACGATCGAAATAAAAGATTCATAAGGATACTACCGATCGTCGTCGGCGTATGTCACGCATGAGGCTAGATCCTACGGCTAATAGATAAAACTTGTTTGGACTTGGGTCGATGAACCGCGTTTTGCGTTAAAGTATCGTTCCTTTTGGAATGATATTCATTGGTATAGTTAGACGCGAACGGTTAACCACAATGGAACGAACATACACGTTATCGTCGAACGTCGACGTTTATCGAAATGAGGAACTTTAGTTTATTCTCCGACCTGACTTTGCTTCGGTATTATTTATTATTACTCGTCGAGTTATATTACGAATTTAATCGATAGTATTAAATTGCTATTGGTATTTCATTATAACAAAGTATTCGCGGTCTCTCGCGTGAGAAAATCTAGGACATAAAATACGTATCGGTGCTCTAACGAATAATATAACGAATTTGCGAACAAAGTAATCACATTGTCGGACATCCGTTAATGGAATCCCAAGCGATGTCGGACGATTATCTTGAAAGCTTATATAGATACATATATGTAACCGCATATAGGCGTATAGATGGAATACGAGGAACCTTGAATAATCAGCAGTGTTCTGCTGACTGGAAAGATAATCGCGTGCAAGGAGAATAGAAGTTAACAGAGATAAAGCCAAGAGAAGAAAGAAGAGAAATAAGGAAGGAGTCGTGTCAACGTATAAAGGCACAGGCCTGCGTGTGTCATCATCTAGTAGGATAAAGAGAGAGAGAGAGAGAGAGAGAGAGAGAGAGAGAGAGAGAGAGAGGGAGAGAAAGAAAAACATCGACAAGAAGGAGTGGGAAAGAGAGTGGCATCGTTTTTCAGCTTGTATATACTCTCTTTCTCCCGCGGTTAGTGTCGCGAACGTACTCGACCGAGAACACTTCTTCCTTTTCGTCTATAGACTATCGAGTCAAAGTTTTTAATCGTTTTAGAAAAATTCAACGTCGTTATCATTTCTCAACGTAAAACCGACACAGCTCGGTTTCGTCCTCGAATGCGTCATCGAAGAAAATACAAAGGAAAATACAAAGTCACGTGATCGTGAAAACTGTCAATAATAAACAATGGCGACGTTCTACGCGGGAGATACGACTTTTTAAGGTTAGTACGATCGATCGATCGATCGATCGATCGATCGGTCGAGTACGAGCAACTCGTACGTTTTACGTAATCTTTGATAGGATAAGTTCGAGTGAGAGATTATCGAATGTTTTTTTCTTTTTCTGTTTTCCTTATCGAAAATCACCTCGTTCAAGTGGATTACAAAATCGTAATATCGTTTTTACATCGTGGGACTCGTCGAAGAAGGACGAAATCTCGATCGATTTCTCGGATCCTTCGATCGTTGAAGTTTACTACTCGTCGATACGATAAATCGAAAGAAAAATAAAAGGATTAGTAAGGCAATTTACTCGAGCGAATGAATACTCCACGAAGTGATAAGATCGTTTTGCGTGTTTTATTGCGAGAATTGAAAAGAGAAGAAGAAGAGTATCTCTGCCGTTCGATTGATCAGTAGTATAAAGGAGACGAAACAATACAATTTCCATTGTTGACCATAAATCGAAAACCTATCGGAGAAATTTCTCTTTATATTTCGATCGTCGATTCGTTCTCTCTCTCTCTCTCTCTCTCGTTAATGGAATTCTCTCGATGATCTAGATCATGAGAGTTGAGAAGCCCTGCTTCTTCTTTGTCTAATCGAAATTACACTTTCTACCCTATCGCAATAGTTTCCTCATTGAAATTTATTAGAAACTTTAGGACTCGCGTGCTTCGAAAGCAATTTCATGATCCTTTTCGTTGGAGATACGATGGAGACTCTTTGCAGTTCTTTTCTAATCCTGTCCCAAGGGCAAAGTTGAGTACCTCTGCTCCAGTGAGAGCGACAGGTTGTCGGTGGCACGCCTTTTGCCGAGTTACTCGTTGAAATAATCCATGCTCGTGTATTCCACGCGCGTTTCGTACGCCCACTTAAAAGCGAGTAGACCGACAATGATCCTTTGTTTTAAACGTTAATTATTTTCACTCTACACGAATGGACTACCTACGGTGCGGCTTGTTTCTTTTCAATGACAATGCGAGAAAGAGAGAGAGGAGGGCTCGTTGCGCAACCTGATTACGACGAGGTCCGTTCGTACAATTTCCTGATTACAAAATCGTTGAGTCGCGCACCATTTCCTCTTTCCTTTTTTGTTTTGTTTTCTTTCTTTCATTTTGTAAATAATAATAAATAAATATTCGCCCAATTGGCGTGCGACGAGGATGACGCTCGTCATCTAGAGAAAGCCACTCCAATTTGTTAGACGTCGGGTGTGTTAGAGTCGATGTGATATTGATTCATCAAGGGGCACTTGTTCCAGCGGTAAACGCATCTTCTAATCGGATCAACGCTTGCTCGGTCGGTCCTGTTTACGGGACCGACTAATAACACCGCTTGCGTATTTCATTTCCTCGTTCGATCGATCGATCGATCGATCGATCGACGCTCTTCGATCTTCGCAAAAACGAATGACCCGGAAACATCTTTTATCTCGAGAGCTATATATATATATATATATATATATATTTTTTTTTTCTTTCTTCTTCTTTCCCTCTCGTCGCTCTCTCCTCGGAGCCTCTTACGGAATAAGAGGGTTTAGCTCGTAAAAGGTAGAAAAGGGCTTTGGAGGGGAGCCGATTGTGATGGCCGTGCTTAACCTGGATCCATCCAGGTACGTTAAACTCGTAGAACGACAGTGCACAGTTTACCTGCGGTCTTCTTCCAAACCTCTTAGCCATTACTTTCTTCCTCGAATACACGCGCGTTGATATTTTTCAAGAAATGTTTACCATCGGCTCCCTCCTCTCTGATAGATCAAGAGACGATCGATCGATTTCTCTTATCGCTCGGTTTTCTCAAACGTAGCTATCGCCTTTCTTCCATTCGGACGCAATTCTACGCGTCGGTGTGCTCGTAGATAAAAACTTTTTATTCAACGATATAAATCGAATTGGATCGCAATCGTCTAGGGGCGCAACTCTAAACGGCCACTCTGTTTTTGATAGCAAGAAAAAAATCGCGGAATGATTTTCGAGAAGTGAACAGTGATATAGTTTCTTTCGTTTTTCAACTTTTTTTTCTTCTCCTCTTCTTCCTCCTTCTGCTTCTCCTCTTTCCTTTTCTTCTTCTTCCTCTTCTCGTCTCGAATTATCGACGACCATGCAGACGACGCACAACGGTGAGTCAGAAATACCGAGGGATTCGTTGTTGCACGAGTTCGAGTATAATTAGTACGTTCTGTGTACCAGCTGCTAAAGTTTCCCTTGACTCTATCGTTTACCATGTCACGAACTCTGACCGTGTCTCGTCCGATATAAAATTGTCAAGAAAATATAAGAAATGAATTTGGGAGTTGAAAAATTTGATCTAGGAATTTGCACTAGGCGCTAGGATAACGAGATAACCGCGATAAACTGCACTTACTTGGAAAATCGATCGATAACGCGAGTCACGTGCCATAGAAATGTCATTGAGATCTCATTCCTTTTTTATCTTGCTCTCTCTCTCGCCCCCCTCCTCCCTCTTTTCTGCGTTTTCCGCAAACGGTCGTTTGCGTTTAAAAATCGAACGAGCTTTTCGATGCATTACGGTCGGCGTGCCTTGAATTTCATTCCGCTATAATTTCTACATTTTTACGTACCGTTAATTCGCGTCTTTCCGTTTCGTCGATCGATTAAATTCTATTGTCCCGTAGAAATTGCAAGTGACTCGACGCGGTAGAATTTGATGCTTGGCCCTTTTTACACGTATTACCATATATAGGTGGAAAAGCATTCTTATCTGCTGAACCAATAACCCACTTTCATACGTGTCGCTCGATAACTTTCCTATTGTTTTCTTCGAAAGAAATTTTTCTCTAAAGCGTACATACATGGAAAGATATGCGAGATTAAACGAAAATACAAAGGAAGAAACGATGCGATTATTTGTTACGTCAAATCTCTACATAATAAATGAGAAGAAAATTGTTGTTTTTTTTTTTTTTTCTTTTTTTTCGAATGAAAAGGTAACGAGACAGGCGCTCGTCACCAAATAGCAAGAGCACACGTGGGTGACTCGATCGATTCGTCCAGGATGGGCTGCTGCGGGTGTTCGGACGAGGTCTCCTCCAAGGTGGAGCCCGGAGTGAGTCACAAACAAATACGATTATCTTACGCTTTTCATTTAGATTTTTCTTAACGAAGCATTTTTCATATTAGTTACATGCTCCTATCATAGATAATCAACGACGATAATATCTTATAATAAAGTTAATGCATCACTCGCTATACACGTACGTATTATTCGGACACGGCTAATGAGAGAATTTAATTAAGTCGTTTCATTAATCTAACAGGATTATTATCGGCTGGCACGTTCCTGTCGCAAGAATACCTTTTGATTCCATCAAGACGTGAAAGTCGCGAGCGGATATGAAAAGTAAAATATCCACGACGCGAGATTCCTTTCTTAAAGCATCTGGTCAATGTCGATTTATAAACGTGACTAGACTGCTATCTCTTGCATTTCGTATTTCCAAAAGGGAAATGAAATTAAACGAAAAGTTTATTGAAAAATTTAATAACAAAAAAAAAAAAGAAAAAAAGAAAAAAATAAGCGGAGCTGATTCGAAATTCGCTATTCTCCATCAATTATTTTAATAAATTTTAACCTCTTCTATTTTACATTTTTCATTTTTCTCTCTTTGTCGTCTATCTGTACATGTTTAAATCTAAAATTGAAATTATTTTCAGACTCCGGAAAACGAAGAGATGGCAGCGAGGAGATCCGAGAGAATATTCGTAATCGATCGATCCTGTACCGATTTAATAACTCTAATTATACTAATTGCATTGCTCGGAGGTTTCGTAAGTGTAACTTCGCGTTCATATAACGCTACGTACGTATACTATTAATAGAATCAGACACGTTAATTTTATTGTATCTTTGTTGCAATCTTTCAAAAAAAAAAAAAAAAAAAAAAAAAAAAACCAAAACAAAAGGCATTTATGATAACAAATGCGGTAAAAAATGGAGACATATATCGTATAATATATGGATACGATAACTGCGGTAACGTTTGCGGTCGTATCACTCCGAGGGAAACCGATCCAGCATTAAGTTGCAAGGGTGGCGATTACAAAAATCTCCCGTAAGTAGAATGAAAAAAATAAAGAAAAGAAAAGAAATCACGTGACAGAGCATGCAATTGTAGCATCATTCCTTTAACACTCGTAGGTACCTACAAATGCAGATCGAATTAAACGGTACAAAAACTCGGCGATGTGTCGCCAAATGCGACGACCTGGAGTATCAGTAAGTAGAACTTTCAACGACGTAACACGGATAAAAGAAGAAAGGATCATCCCAACTAATACTTTCTACATTGCAGAATATTCTTTCTAAATCGCTGCATACCAAAAAAACTAACAGACACCGCCATATCTCTGATTAAACGTCTCGGATTAGAAAATTTCTATAAAGTAACTAATTGACATACATATTTAACGTTGCAATACGATTCTGAGACATGATTCATTGGACTTTTCATTGGTATTTTAGGAAGTATCGACTGATCTCAGAGTAGCTTGGAGAGAGCTGATGTATCTCTGTCTAATTGCGCTTGGTTAGTGACATCATCAACGACATCGTCATCGTCCTTATCGTTCATTATCATCATCGTCAGCCATCAATCATCATAGTCATTAATATATCATTGCTGTCATCGTCTCAAACTCAATCTCTGAAATATCGCTCGACGATTCATTAATTATTCAATCGTTTTCAGCATTTTCTCTCGGTATTCTGATAGCCTTTCGTTATATGGTACAATGGATCGTTTACATAGTTTTAATTGGTGTAATCGTTGCCTGTATCGGCGGTACAACTTATCTCTGGTGAGTCCAATCGTCCTTTTACCGGAATCTTATTCTCATGGAATTCCTTTTTTCTTTCTTTTTTTTTTTTTTCTTTTCTTTTTCTTCTATTCAGGATGGCCTGGTATCAAGAGAAAAAAGAATTGGACTCGAAAAATACGTCGGAGAAAGAAAACTTTGAAGAAAACTCGAGTCTGCAAGCATATTTCGTTTACGCCATCGTCATGTCAGTTGTCACGGTCAGTTCTCGTGATATTTTACCGTCGACGACGTTGTTGCAAAAACGAAAAAGAAAAAGTATTCCTATTTCTTCCCCGTAGGTGATCACTCTATTGATCGTTTTAGTAATGAGAAAAAGGATCGCTTTGGTGATGCAGCTCTTTCGTGAAGCAGGAAAGGCAGTTTACTCGATGCCCGCTCTACTTCTTCAACCAATCTATGTAAATATATTCGTAGACGTTTCTTTTTTATCAATTTTTATGAGTCACCGAAATTGAGACACTGAGAAAAAAATCATCATTTCGACAGACGTACCTGCTCATTGGTCTGAGCATGTTCGCTTTTATTTATTGCATGCTCTGGATCGAAAGCGCCGGTACCATTTATAAAAATAAAACGGGGATTCACTTTAGGAAGGATGCTCTTTTGATAGTAAGTAACGTGTCATTCTGAACTATTCTAAAATAAAGGACCTCTTAATAATAATGATTTTCAGGCCGCCAGATGGTACAATCTCTTTGTTTTCTTCGTCATGTGTGAGTTTTTCCTTGGTTGTCAGCACATGGTCGTGGCGCTCGCTGTAGCCCGTTGGTTTTTTACAAGGTGAACTTCTTCTCGCTTCTCCAACTAGCAAAACCGAACACGGTTTTAATGGATTGATATATTTTGGATAGAGATAAGAAGAGATTATCGTTGACTGTGACTAAAGGATTTGGATATCTCATAAGATATCATTTGGGTACAATAGCTTTTGGTGCTCTGATAATCGGAATCGTTCGTTTGGTCAGAGCTATGATCTCCTTCGTACAGAATCGTTTGAAGAAGTTCGACAACGACCTAGTGAGAGGAATTCTTTGGTGTTGTCAATGTTGTCTTTGGTGCTTCGAGTGTGCTCTCAAGTTTCTTACTAGAAATGCTTATATCGAGACAGGTACTTCCTGTTCACTTTTATTAACGTTTCTTCTGATCAATATTTTTCAAAGTCTTCTTGTACATCGTGTTGTTTTTCTTTTTTTTTTTTTTTTCTTTCTTTCTTTCCAGCTATATACGGATGTAACTTTTGTTCCGGCGGGAAAAAGGCTTTCCAAGCACTCTCGAGTAATATTTTGAGGGTCGCAGCTATTAACAGCGTTGGAGATTTCGTTTTGTTCTTGGGAAAAGTATTGGTAGTTGTGTTGACTGTTATCACTGGAATTTATTTGATACAGGTACACATTTGTCATTCGTTCGAACTGTTCTTTTTTCTATGCTCCCTTCTCTCACGTATTTATTTGCATAGAAGAAGGAAGGATTGCAACATCCCTGGGTGCCAATTGCCCTGGCTGGGGTATTGGCTTTTCTCGTTTCGCATTGCTTCATTTCGATTTACGAAGTAAGATTAACAAAGATTAGAAACATTTCGAGACGTTATCGTGAAACTTGATTAATCGATTTATTTCAGATGATCATAGACTCCATATTCCTTTGCTTTTGCGAGGATTGTGCGAAAAATGACGGCATTAGTAGGCCGTACTTTATGAGCCGTGGACTGATGGTAAAATTATTTCTTACGTCAAATTTTTAATCGTTCTCTTTTTAAATAATATGTTTATTCTTTTTTTTTTTTTTTTTTTTTTGTTCTTTTTATTACAGGAGTTTGTGGAAAATAGCAAGAAGGCGTTACGTCAGTTGGACGAAACTCAATGAAACAACGTCCATTGTGATTTCTCGCTTTTCAATTGCTTTTTTTTCTTTGAGACAACCAAAATGAAGAACAGGAAAAGAATGAAATGTCTGCGACGTATACCAATACTGATAAAATAGATTTTCTTTTTTCTTTTTTTTTTTTTGTTTTTTTTTTAATCGTGTCGAGAGTTCTAGGAATTTTTTGGAAATAAGTTAAAATGAAAGAAATACGGACAACGCAAATGTTATAAATCATCGAACAGAGTCACAAGAGATTTCTTTCAATGCTAAAAAGACTGCAAATTTATTCCTCGAATTTCTGTCACGTTCGATGCTTCGCGAGATTTCATTGAGATCTCGTTTAGTGCTAATTTCTTAATTCGCACATCAACGAAGATAGATTAGGTACAAAACATCGATTCTTGTTCCTAAAACATATTACGTACAACGTAAGAGAAGAGATCGGAACCAAAACCGGAATCAGTAAAAGGAAGAAACAAAAGAAAAAAAAAATGGATCACATTTTTATACGACAAAGTTACAATTTCCACAAACGCAATACTTTTTCCATTAACTTTAAAAGCGCGCAAATGTTTTGGATATGTCTTTTATATATATATATGTATATATATATTTATATATTTCCCCTTTTTTCCTTCTTAAGTTAAATAGGCATTCGTTAAAGCGAAATCGATTACCTCGTTATTCGCAAGGTATTATACCGCGAGAGTATTTTATGCTCGTTATATTACATTTAAGTATATGTTTAATAACAAACAGCCCATTGTGATCATACAGATTGCATTGTAAATAAATAATATTCCATGAATCTAGATACTACAATGTAAAAGAATAAATTGGTATAATTCTTCTTGCATTGCATCTGCATGTTCATGGGTGAGAATACGACATTGAGACTCTGGGGAATCGTACGAGCATATTGAGAGAATGTTATTATTTATACTTTATAGAGTTACAGCTACTATTGTTAGTGCCGTCTATTATTATTATACGTTTAGGAAAATACAATTCTATACGATTTGTTTTTATACTCACGTGTATGTTTTCTTTCCTCCATTAATAGGAATATCCAAAGACTTTTTTTAATTGTAGAAGAGTGAAGATATTGAAAATTGATAAAGAGAAAAAAAAAAAGAAAAAAAAGTAAAGAAGAATAAAGGAGGAACGAACGAAGAGACAACAGGACACGCGCATATGTACTTGAACGTATTATATTAGCATAAAAGCTAACATTTTTATTGGTTTATTTATTCCCTTTTTTTTTTTGTATCTTTTCTTTTATTTTCTTTTATTCCATTCGATTCGGGCACACAATTATTGCATGTATGTATGTATGAATTACGAGAATACCGGGTTGTGTTTTACAGCTTTTAGCGGTACACGCATGTAAGTGGATCCGTTTTACAATGATAAAGCTGGCAGTAAGAGTCGGGTCGACATTAATCCGTGAAGGTTTATTTCGCGTGGGCGTAGATTAATTAACACCTCTTGTTCGTCTTTGAATCTCGAACGATTTAACACTATCTGCTGTTACAAAAAGAGAGAAAAATAGGAAAAAGGAACGTTCGTGATTTATACGATTTTCGATCTCTCGAAAAATAATAAACAAGTGAAAAGCTTTTCGTTCGGACTCGGAGGAAAAAACGCATATCTGTGTAAATACGGAAAAGTGTTAAAACTGTGCGAGGAAAACAATTCCGTCCTCTCGCGATGGAAATAAAAATTAGAAAAAAATATGTCTGCACGAGAACGAACGAGATAAAGGCTGTTTGTTTCCTTTTGAAAAGTCGAAGGGATTATAAAAATTTAAGAAATAAAACATTGAAAAATCGTTTCCATTGAATTTTTCATACGTGCATACAACATTAAAATATTGTCACGATTTTGACAACACCAAAAATACACGTTTTTCTATCATGTGTTTTCTTTTTTCATTATTACTTTTGTCCGATATATTCAAGGTTTTTATTCGTAAATTCAAAGAATATTTCGCGATTTTTCACAGCTGCGAGACGAGAGACGTATGGAAATGAAGAAAAAAAGAAATAAATAAAATAATAAGTAATTCTCTTGGGAGGAATCTTTTTTCTCGATGCAATGAAAAAGGGAAAAGAAAAAAAAGAAGAAAAAAAAAAAAAAAACGAGATTCGCAAAGATCGTCTTCTCTACGTATTCATTAGTTATATAAACGATATTTTAATATCCAGTCACATTGCTTGGTCGATCTGAGGTGGCCACAATTTCTTCGGCCGGAAAATTCTGCGAGACCGAATTTTTTGTTCTTTTTCTTGGCCAAGGAACTCTAAATTAACGACTAAGAAGAACGCTCTTCGTCCTCTGATGGATAAATTGCACTCAGCATTTGACGCTACTCTTATTCGCTTTCTCTCTTTCTCTCTATTTCTTCTTTTTTATTGATTTCGTCAATCGAGCCATGGTCGTCGCACGACATACTACAAATGTACATGTTGTAAATTAATAAACAATTCGAAGTAACTCGTAAAGCATCAGTCTTAGTCGTTAGGAAGTTGAATAATTTTGCGCATATTTCCAAGTTAATATTTGACGTACATAGTTGGTAAGTATATGTGTGTATATGTATACGTATATATGTGTACATTAATCGAAATTATACAAGGAAAAACTAGAGAGATTTTCGAGCCAAAATAAGAAACGATTCGTGTGTTCATTTTTGATAATAGATCCAAATTTTGTTGTATTCTAATCTCTTTCTCTATTCCAGAAATTCGTACGCTCGATAAAAATGGAATAGACGCAAACATTTTCGATCTAAAAGATAAGCACTGCAGATCATTCCGTGATAAATATATATAAAAAGGAAAACAATTATTCCTTGTATATAATAAATGTTCGTGTATATGTGTGATTATGTTTAAAAGGATTGTAAAATTGATTATGCGCATATATATGCATATATACTATATAATATTATCCCTTGGAATAAGCAAAGAGTCTGTATTTCGATCCTTTGAATCGAATGGCCAGCATTCGATAATTCAAGCGAATGGTTATACAATTTTTTCAAGCTCGTCTCTCGATGGGTGTGTCTGTGTGTCCTCTGTCTGTGTGTGTGTGTATCGGGTGACACCTTGCAAAAATTAATGTCAATTAATAAAAAATTTTAAATCGGCCTCGCCTACACACACATATATATATATATATATATATGTATGTATGTATGTATGTATGTATGTATGTATGTATGTACAAATTACGTACTCGAAGCACCGCGCATGCTCTCTCTTTCTTTCTAAACAAATACATTTACGATTGCGCCTAAAGGACACAAGAGGAGGGCCGGGGATACATCTAACATTTTAGGTGTGAACGCAGCTTAATCATCTATGCATTGTTTTCTATGTGGCTGTTGTCGATCGAATCGTAACACGTCGTTGGGAATTTTTAACCGATCGTAGCGCGAAAACGCGATAACAATAACGACGGCTACGAATGTCGTTTAGAAAGAAAGATCAATGAAAAAGGAAACAAAAAAAGAAAATCTAGACACTATTGCGCTAATGTGCTTGGCCGGCAAGCATATCTACAATTACGAATTTTTATTATTTGTATTTCTTTTTTTTTTAATTAAAACAAACATAGAATCAATTTTGAGCGCGTCGTTATAGCCATCACCAATGAAATAATTGTAACGCACGTACTTTTCTATAATTTTTGTTTCTCTTTTTTTGTTTTCCCCTCCCCCCTCCCTCCTGCCCTTGAATACGACAGCTTTATTATAATTCAAGGTCCTGCTTTGGTTAAGAAAACATTATCTTTCCGATTCGGTTCTCTTCTCTCGAAATAACAGAGGAAAAGATAAAAAGGAGGAAGGGAAAATTTAAATTGCGATTCGAGCTCGACAGAAGGAGAAGAGAGAGAATGTAATAGGGAAAGAAGGCGTATAACGGTATAGGAAAATGGACGTGAGACGTGTAAAATGAAAAGACGAAGGAAGACCCTCGAGAATTGCCGAGACTCAAAACGTACCGAAGCTATACGAATATTTCTTTTTCTTCTTCTTTAATATTTGTTTTCATTTATTCTCGAACACCGTGCCGTCTCGATACGAGTTAATATCCACGTTGTTCATCTATATCAAATAATAATAATTATTATTATTATAATAATATAATATAATATTTAATATATAATAAAAATAATAATAATAAACTCTGCAATATTTAATACAGGCTTGTTCACACGGACTAGATACACTTCCCACGAAGGGATCGAGCGCGATAAACGCTCGATAATCATTATTTCATTTCTTTTTCTTTGTTCTTTTTCTTATCCTTCTCTTCTCAACGCTAACAGCAACGTTCAGCTATATTCGCGTATCAAGGTAATTCAGGAACGATTGGATATAGATGTTTGGCGTCGTAAACGTAACCGCCATTATTTTACGTGGGTCACCACCACGAGGGAGGAAAAATATAGGTATACATGCTTGTGTGTGTGTGTGTGTGTGTTTGCGTATATATCTTACGTTCTTCGTCATTTGAGAAATTTCTGGAACGTTCGAACAAAGTGTGTTTAAAAATGTCGAAGCAACGTAATCATTCATCAGCAACGACGAAGGGTCCTTGTAGAAAAAGGACTCGCGATTCGCGCGCGCGCGCACATTTGTGTGTATGTTTGGGTGGATGTTTGTGGATGGGGTGCGGCGATAGAACGAACAAACTGGTTCCTCCTGAGATTAAAATCCTACCGTCAGGAAGAATAAAAAAAAATCACACTGGGAATTTCTAGCTCGTCTCGATCGAGCGTTCATCAACAAAGACTGCAACATTTGGAGGCGTCGCCCAAATGAATATGACATACGGCTGGCATACCGGTACAGCCTTTACCAACTACTCTTTCCTGCACGAGATGAGCAAGACCAAGATTCTGATTGATATCACCGTCGCTGCCACGATGTTGATGCTTTGTGTCGCACCACTGATGACGTTCTCGCCATTTGTCGTCCGAGGCGGCACATAGTAGCACCGACTTTGGTGAGGGCGGACTGACACGATCGCGTGCGATGTTACCGCAAGAACGAGCCTTATAGAGTCGACCCTTCCCGAAGAGACCCGGTAGAGGTACACAGAGCTTCTTGTGAACTGCAAAATAACGGCTGAGCAAACGAATTTTTCTACTTTTGCAGTCGTTCCTGTTTACCGAGGCCCCACGATTTTCCTTTTCGTTCGGAGCTGTTTGGTTATTGACCAAACCACCATTTAGATCCTTTCTTCTATCGTCGTTACAACTTTCGACAGTCTGACACTTTGTTCGTTGATCCATTTTGTTGATTTCTCTACCAGTGGAATTGCTATCCGCTTGCTGCCTACTCACAGCTTGCGACAAACTAGATTTACCGAGGGACCAACCCTGCAAGAGTCTAGCGCCAAAGCCCTTAGCTTTTTGTACGGTCGTAGCAGCGTGCGATAGCGGTTGATTAATACCGTGAGATCCGGTGCTACTTTGGGATATCGAGGAGGACGAGGTGGAAACGTTTTGAACGTTTAAAATCGTCGAGTTGCGAGATACGTGAGAATGATTGTGACAGGTAGCCGATGGGCCCTCGGCTTCTTGCACCTCCGTTATTCGATTCAACGACTGGCTTTCTCTCAAACGCGTCTCGCCTGCTCTTCTTCTACCTGCCCGATGTCTTCTCCCGAAGGCCACTTGATTTTCCGTTGATCTGTGCCTTCCACCGGCCGTCGTATTGCTCGTTGTCGTGTTCGTAGTGCTACCACCATCGTTACGATTAGTATCGGTTGTACTCGATGGCGCTTCGCTCGTAGTATGTTCTCCATTTCCAATACCGCTACCTCCTCCTCCTCCTCCTCCTCTGCCCCCACCTCCGCTTCCTCCAGGATCCTGAGAATCGCTAGAATCGTCGTGACTATCTCGCCTAGGTGGTAGAGGCTTCTCCGTCGTCGCGCCGAGCTTATGCGCTCTCTTCTTTCTACTCTCGCTGTCGTCGTCGCTCGCGTCCGAGCTCGAACACGAAGCCGTTCTAGTTTT